ATGACAAACCTTTATTTTGATATTTTTCACCTAACAGTGTCATCAGAAATAACTGAAATTAAATTTCAATAAATAAATTTGAAATTATGATTGAAATAAAATTGTTGTTTTTTTCCGATTACAATTTGATCGGCAAAACAAGTAAAAATAATAGTTTTCTAAACTATCATCTAGTTACCTGAACCTCAAATGTCAAATAGGCACTGAAAGTACAGTACTATGGTCCATGTATAAATCTTTATTTTCAATTAAGTCATGCCTTGTTTGGGATGCATTAGTGATTTACTATAGAAATTTACTCTTGTAAATTTTCTGGAGACAACATAGTCTTTTTCATTTTTTAATTGTTCACGTTAGGGTTAAGGTTAGGGGTTAGGGTTAAATATCATGTTAGATAATTCTCTCTTGAGAGAGTCAATTATTGAGATTTACAATGAAGTGATTACAATATTGGCAAAAAAAAAAAAAAATCTCATCTATTCAACTGGGGTTAGGGTTCAGCAATAGGAAACACCCATCTCTTTATTCTAAGATTAACATTTCAATTGTACAGGTCTGTGAATGACTACAAAGAATTTAGGATTTCCATTAAATTTCTAATACATTTTCTTCACTGAATTGTCAAACCTTGACATGTGTATGCATGTTTGGAAAATTGTATATTTGGGTAGCAACCTTTCTTTTATACATGTTTCATTGAATTTGAAAGACAAGGAAATCTTATCATTTTTTTAAAGTGTTTTTTAAAAACATTTTTTAATGTTCTTACAGTTTTCCTTTTTGAGGGACTACCAGAGTGTAGAAAGTGTCCAAAATGATTTCTTGTCCCAAACACTAAATTCATTAGCGATTTTCAAGAGATTTGATGCTAGTATGTTTTTAATGTATGTGTTCTAAGTTGTATTGCATGAAAGTAGTAAAAATTCTAAGCTGTGCTGGAAGAAATGTGGTTGCAATTCCATGTTGGTGTCTTTTAAAAGACCGCCAACAAGTTACTGCTGGTGTTAAATATTTAGAAACATATTTTTTATTCTTTTTTTTTTCCCTAATAAAAAAAGTAAGATGGAGGTTTGGCTTGAATTGTTTTATATAAAGAAATTCCATAATCTTAAGAGGTTGTCAACAATTAGATTTCTTTAGAATGATGGTGTTATTAAAACTTTCTTTTTCTGTGGTCAAGTTTGAAGGATGATTGAAATTTGAATGACTGAAATAAAAGTTTGACAAACTTGGACAGAAAAATATAGAGTGTCAAAAGGATAGTTTTTATCTTGACACTGCTATTATTTTAACTACCTCCATTTTTTTGTCTATATTTCTGAGATGAGGTATTATGTACATTATTTACATTATTCGGACTATTGTCCTCATCTTTGTCGCCATATTTATGTAATAAATATGGCGATAAAGATGAGGACAATAGTCTGAATAATGTAAATAATGTCCATTCTTTTTTTTGTCGTTGTTCTTGAGAATTTACAACAAAAATATTAAAAACTTTATTTCTTAGATTGTTTATTTACAAGAATAATTTTATATTTACAACATTCTAAAAGCTAATACAATTAAAACTAATGCAATGCAATATTTATCATTTACCAATTGATAAAAAATAAATATGAAAAAATTTTTGATTCATAAATTTATAAACATTTACTAATTAAAATATTTGAACCAATTATAACAAAATCCTTATTATTTACCATGTTCTCAAGAAGAAAGAAAATACATAAATACACTTTCTAATAGAGACAGGCATTTGTTTGTGGGCATGAAGGTGCTTTGTATGGCTCTGAGATAACTTAAGTGGTTTGTCATTCTTCTGTTGTTAGTTATTGTTGTCTAACCAATGTAGATAATCAGCTTATGAAAAGAGATATAGTTTTTTACTGGACAGCTTTACATCAATCGTTTTTAGCTTAGATTTGATGGGTGTGTTATTTGTAATTATGAGGTTGGCTGTTTTTAATTTTCTATGGTATATTGTAAGTTTTACATGCTTGCTGGAGTCAAGAGGTGAAATGGATTGTTTAATGATGCATACTGAATTATCACAATCTATTTCTTTAGAACAGATTAGATTTTCTTCTACTTCCACACAATACAACTTAGAACACGAACATTGTAAAACATTAACAATGAAGCCCTTGAAAATGGCTAATTGTCCAAAAAGATCTTGCAACAAGAATCATTATGAACAGTTTCTACATTCTTAGTCCATCAAAAATCAAAAACTGTAAGATTATTGAAAACAATCATAAACTATTTCCAGATCTGTCACACTCATATGTATGAAACCCTTATGTTTAATGTCATTTGCACAAGTAGCTGCCAATTAATAAAGTGTAACAATGGATCAAATGTTTGTGATCAAAGAAAAGAAAGGTCTGCCATTTTAACTTGAATAGAGTTTCATTCAAGCTTGAGTAAATGGATGGCAGAACAAGGTTTAGGAGAGATAAGAAAAAGATAAAATTTATCAAGAGCTACAAAGGACAGGAAATTGTGGAGAGCCATGATCACCAACGTCCTGAAGGGACATAGCACATAGAAGAAGAATACACAAATTGCATTTGACATCCTAGACTTGGGATTTGCCAAACTTCAAGAACAAACAAAATGTAACTTTCTGAAATCCAAAGCACCAAAAAGAAACTTACAAATACTTGGCATCAATTTCTACAATCAAATACTTGGCATCAATTTCTACAATCAAATCTAAAAGAAAAAACAAAAGACTTAAAAAAAAATAAAAATCTTTCTAGGAAAACTAAGAAAAAAACAAAAAAGAACTTGTCGGATAGATTTAGTCAATCAATAACGATTGTTTTCAAAATCTATTGGTCTCATGAAAGCGACATTATATTGTAAATTAAATCAATATGTAATATTATTATAAGTATAATTTCATATTGAGGGTTAAACCCAAAATTATAGTGTAATGAAACAGTAAAGTATACAAGATAAAAATGTGAACACTGAACTATGAAAAGATCTGTTAAATTTGAAGGTGGTAATTGTCGAAGGGAGGTAACTTAATATATAAAAAAAAGGGGAGAAGAAGAAAAAATAAAGATAAAATAAAATTAATATGAATAAGAAGTTAATATGGAGTTAGTATAAATATAAAATTAATACAGAATATTATAAAAATATAAATATGAGGAAGATGTTATAAAAGAAAGAAGCGGATGATAAGTGGGGAGAGAGTAGTGGGGAGAGAGTAAGTGGGGAGAGAGTAGTAAAAAAAATGTCAGTGGGGATAATTCTAATAATTGGTACATTAATTGGTAATTAATATAATTGGTACATTAGTATGCTAACCAGAATCAAAATATTTCAGAAGAAAGTTTTTTCTATGAATGCATATAGTTATAAGTTCACTTTGTTCACCAGGTTGGGATTATTGGTGTGTTTCAGAATGATATGTTTTTTTCCAAGAGGCATAGGTTACATTTTTTCCCTTGCCACCAAAGGCTTTGGTTTTAGTGATGTAATCCCAATTCACCAAGTGTGTAGTAATCCATTTTAAATTCCCAGAAAAATTTAGAGAGTGCCATGTTATTGGAATATTGACTATTGATAAGAGTCGTTTTATGTTGTTAATACTGAATTTTGCAGTGGAACCAAAATAAAATTTAGTTTCACCATTATGTTTAATACTAGCTTTATGAACAATGCCTTTAGACATGCATTTAGAATTTAGTGGGTAGGTACTGTTTTTTCTGCAATAACAATGTTTTTTCAGTATTATTATTACCATGGAGATGGCTTAGACATTTAACATTATTATGAGGCAATATATAAGTGTTCAATGTTTTTAGTACAGATATAGCTAACTTTAATGTTGTTTTTGCTGAAATTTTTTTTCATCACTGGGATATGGTTGAAATACTTATGGATTAAATTATGGAACATTTTACCAATGTTGGCTTTGACATTTTGGTTAAATGAGGAGTTAAACCAAATTATATTGCATTTTCTATGTTTATGCCTATTGTTGTCTGTCTTGTTTTTATCTAAGTATTCTAGTTTAACTTTGTGTTTGCTTTTTTCTAAAGCATCTTCATATCTGGTCTAGTATTTATCAAAAATATCTTTATTGCTAGAGTTAGTTGAACGTCTAAATTGTACTGATTCGTGTAAATTATTTAAAAATCCTATTGAACTCACACTCTTTGGGTCCTGTCACTGGATCTAACTAACGCCTTTATCCATTATGCCATGTGTCCTTGATGACATCTGTGTATGAATTTCTGGGTATTATAAACCTAATGTCTTCAGCAGTTTTTTACCAGTTCAATACCCGGTTAAGAGAGTGGAGAACTTTCAGAGGGGAATTAACAGGAGATAACTGATAACTGACATCCATTAAACATGGCATATGGAACTAGAACAGTCTACCCCAGTGTGTGAAATAAAGGGTTCAGTTCGACATTCCAACCACCTGAAGAAAGCCAGAGCGTACAACAGCCGAAACATTGTAATAAATATGTTGACAAAGATGAGGACAATAGTCAGAATAATGTAAATAGTGTAGATAATACCTCATCTCAGAAATATAGACAGATACTTAAATGTCCCTGTCCTTTCAACGTTCTCTTGATGTGGAATTATAACTAATATTTGTTGTATTTTGTTCTCTCTCTAAATATTCCATTGAGAAAAGTCAGTTAGTCTTAAGAAATCCTTTCAAAAGAACAAAACATCACATAGGTTTTTTTTTTTTCTTTCATTTTTTTCAATCAGTAAACATCTTTGTTAATCCTGTGTTAGTCACCTCGGATTTCTGAAAACAGACAGTCCTCTAGCGTCTGCCTCCCACAACAACTGTGCCACACTACGTGCTACAAAGCCTCACCAACTCAAGAGAGTAGTGGGAGGTAGCAAAAGAAACATGTTAAATACTAAGAATTACAAGTATTTTAAAAATGGGGGGGGTAACAAAGTACCCCATGTGACTAACATAGGGTTAAGTGCAATAGAATGCATGGAAAATTTTAGTCCAGCCAATGGTCTTCCATGCATGTCCGACTCCAAGTTTTCATGCAGATCCAACACCATTCTTCCTGGCATCTGGAGCAGTACATATGGTTGCAACCACCTGTCAAACAAAGAAAGAAAAAAAATTAAAAGAAATGCTTTTTGATGGTGAGAACTTTCTCTAATGAAAAAAAGATTGAAGAGTTCTTTGAAAACTTTTTCACATCAAAACCTGTGAAAATTTAACTCAGTAGTGATGACAATACCACCTGATAAGTGGTAACAAATCAGCGCAAATAATGCTGAATATATTGTAGTCGGTGGGTATTTGGTTTTTCGTCTGGTATCAGAAGATGCTAATGTTGTTGGACCACAATAAATAACGCAAAAACTTGGTTGGAAAATTAAGGCTCAATTTTTATTGACACGTGTGTGCGTACTGAACTTGGAGGCAAGAGAGTGTTCAACTTCAAGTCAACATGATGTTGAAAGAGGGAGACTGAATCTCCTTTCCTTAGAACCACTGCAAAACACGTCTGAATACAATGATTCGAAAGTATCAAACCTAGATGATCTCCTTTCCAGAAGTGGTGGGGTCATAAACTTTGCACATAAGAAACTTGGCGGGGGGGTCCATATGCATTATAGGAAAAAAATTTTTTTTTGTAATTATTATTTATTTTATTTACTATTTAATTTTCATTCTCCCACAATATAATTGAATAAAATTGTACTTTACTTTTTTTTAAGAATAAAATTGATAAACAAAAGCAGAAATCATTTGATTTAACCTCAGAAATTACTGTATTTATCTATAATTTTGTTTATTTGTTACTACGATAGCTACATATATAGGGTGTAGGGACATTCACATTCCAGTAACCCACACTACCCAAAGATATGAGAATCCAGGGCTGACCCTATCTTCTATACTCATCCTAAGACAATGCATTTGTTTTAATTTCCGATATGTAAATATTTCTATAGATATGAAGGAAGATAACTATTTCTATAGATAGAAAGAAAGATATACCCTCAAAAGAGAAAAAGGATATTGTAATACTAAAATGCTGAAATGTTGAAAATTGCATAAAATGTTTAACAGAGATCTCAAAAGAATCCAAAAAGGAAATTGAAAACATATGCAAGACAAGAAGGAAAGAAACTGATTCTAAAAATATTGCAAAGAAAAAGATTTGAGAAAAATTAAAGCAGTAATAAAAAAGTGAATCGACCAAGAAAGACATATTTCAAAAAATTGGTGTTGCAAATGGAAACTGAAAGAAAAGAGAAAGAATATTAAGAACATTGACTGAAAATATTAAAACAACCAAACTTTAAGTAAACGTCATAAAGAGAAAGAGAAGTTAGGGGTTGATTTGCATAAAGTATTCGGAATGATTGCAACAGTTTTCACCCCTCCCTCTCTTATAGTCAGAAGGACACTAAATGCATGCTGGGATATTTTTCTTAGCCAATAAAATGAGATGGCTTGTGTTTTGACATGACTCAGTCCAGTCCGGCAGACTTGCCAAACATTCTGCCTTCGAGCAGAGAGGAACCCAGATAACGCTATGCTGAAGGGCAGAATCACATCAGGGAAGGTAGACAAACCCAGCCCCATATATGCAAGGCCTACGGGGAATCTTTGCCCATGCCTATGGGCTCAGAATCGTCCCACATCCATTGATTCAAAAGTATCAAACCTAGACGATCTCCTTTCCAGAAGAAAACATAAAGAAAGAGAAACATGCAAGTTGGGTGTTGAGTCCCCTAAACTAGCGGGAATGCATATTTATTTTGTTTTAAATACAAAATTGTGGCACAAGGCCGAAGGGGAAAGGCTAGTCTTCACTGACTATCCTGGTCTTAGTTGATCACAATCATGATCCATTCATTCAATACAATATACTCAATCACCACAAGAACTTGTCCATCACCTTCCAATCCAACATGTACCACAATAACACATATTCACAAAGCATCTACAAAACAACCTATGACATAAAAATTTGTGCAGTCCATAATGTCTCTTTATTTATTTTTCTTTTTAAAGTATCGCGAATGATTGCAAATTCTTTTTACCGATTTATGACGAACATCTTGAACGATATGCACACACTGTCAGGTCTTATGCAACTCAACATTTTCACACTAATATAAGAATTCACCAACCAATGCTGGTAAAATATTCAGGACCTATTTATATATTTACACTATAGATTTCTTTAGCTCAATAAACTTCTTACAAGTTCGCCAACTTTCAAATACCTGAAGAAATTCGCATATCTTATCGTTAAATATTTGTTATTTAAAAACTTTTACAAAATATCGTGGTAACAACCAAAAGTATGAATCTAGGTTACACGATTTACATTATTCGGACTATTATCCTCATCTCAGCGGATACAGGCGTTAGTTAGATCCAGTAACAGGACCCAAAGAGTGTCAAACAGTAAAATTGACCTTGCTAACCGAACGTTCCTCTGTGGCCCAATCAGTTAAGGCACGTCTGTGATGAAAGACATGAATTACCCCAGAATTTGAAACAAGCACGAATGTGTTTTGCCTGCAAAGTGATGACAAAAAGAAATATGGCCGCTATTGAAGACGCAATCTATATGCGCCGATCTCGTCCAAAACAAGACGATATTTGCACACATGCAAATTTTGGCCGTATTGGAATAGCATAAAAAGCGGGGTGCCAGCAGCACGATTGAATTGGAAGTTATTCGGCAGATTGCATGCAATAGAGCTGGATGTAGGAATTGAAAGACGGACAAAGAAGAAGTCGAAGTAGGCATGGTTGAATTGGTGTCTATTTCACAACCACCCAGTGTAATGGCTGAGAAAGAGTCATGCAATCCATTTCCTTGAGGCGACCAAAGAAGAAGTAGAAAAAACAGCTGGTCTGCTGGCGAGCACTGCACTTTTTGATCCCTCCCCACCACCATTTTTTTTTTCCTCTACAACGTCAGGCTATATGACGGTTCCATATAGGATACTGTTTCGATTCCTGTCAGAGGACGCATATTTTCTATGAAAATTTCTCAGACATTCAGGCCGGTAAATGTTGTTAATACTGTTTATTTTAAACAGAGCATTTACTTAAATATTTGTATCTATAAAAAGAATGTATAAACATAAAAAATGTCTTAAAAAATAATTGTCAGACTTTGTCCATTTCATAATAAATAGATATGCCATAATGTATTTTACATGCACTATGTTGTTAAACGGCTTTCATACAATAAAAAATATGTAAAACCTACTCTTCTTAAATGAAGTTATCTTCATTCAAAATAGCAAAGAATCTAAATTTTCTTTATTTAGATTTTTTTTTTTTACTTCTGTATTTGAAATGTTATTCTTTTTTTAGTTGTTTTTATTGTCCTTGATGAAGAACACGTCCCTAGACAAAGACCTCTCCCGTCTTGGCTTTGATGATGTTCACCCAGTTCTACTGGGCAGGACATATAGTCAAAATAAAAGATGAAAAACTCCACAGGAATATCATTCTCTGTATGATGGAGTAATGGACAGTGGCTTGGATTGAGGAATCAGAGAGCAGAGTTTGAATTCCAGTTGTATCAGTTAGATCCAATTACATGCTAAAACCCTTGGGTAAGGTATGAATCCTCATCTTCTACCCGCAGCTATGGGTAAATAGCAGGACAGACTATGTTCTATAACCTTGGTTGGAAATTGGTCTACTGCAGAAAGAAATGGTAACCTACTGCGAGAAGAAATTTGCCTCAATCATGTATTGAAAGATACTCGATTGCCTAAGCGTGGATTACACATGGCACATAACTGACTGGTTCTTCGGAAACAACTATAGTACAAAGATACTCTGAAAAGTTCAAGCAAGCACAAGTTTGCTTGAACAATATCAATCAGATACAAATCTGGTTGCTGGAATGAAGGGCTGACACATCCATAACAAAATGGTGTCCAATCCATAACAAATGGGTGTGTCCAATCCATGAAAAGGTAGTATCCAATCTATGACAAGTGGTACCCAAAATCCATTAATAGTAATGACAAATATAAGACAAAGCTATGTCCCATCCATATCAAATGTTGACGAATCAATGACAAATGCCGACTAATCTATGAAATCTAATGAAAAGGTGTCCAGTCAATGACAGAGAGGGGTTTCTCACCCATAACAAATGGGGAACAATCCATGAAAAGTAGTGTCCGGTCTATGAGATGTCGTAGCCAGCCAATTCATGTCAAATGGTGTCCAGTCTATGAGGAAAAGAATTCGTTATAACTTTGTCCACATTATGTACATTTTTGGTACTTTTGTGCATGAATAAATAATCTTTCTTACCATTCTTTTCCGTTTTCACTTTGCACTTGGGACAAAGTTTCGTAATCTGGGCAATGAGGGACAAACTCTTTTTTTCCCACTGACACTTGATTAAAAGATTACTGCTAGGTAATGAGGACTGGAAAAGAAAAGAAAATACACACTGAAAAAAAATATCTATTTTTCAGAACTGATCATAATATAATATAATAATATATAATGAAAACTGTAACGTTTTCTTTTTCTCTGTCCATAACAATGAACTTGCCCATTGTCAGATAATTATTAGCAATCTGTTTTCACTACTAGTGAGTAATAGAAAAATTTGTTTCTTATAGTAATATTATGCATGCTTTGAAAAACTTGTAAAATAGATATTAAAGGAATTATAAAATTTAAAAAAAATATAAAATCCCACATTTATAACACAAAACATCATACACAGAGTCACTTGAAATGATTTTCAAGTTATAAAAAATACTTTTTTTTAATTTTTAAATTGAAAAAATTTTGAACAAAACAAAAGGGTGCTGAAAATTTTTAGACCAGAAATACTTCTCAAATTCTAAACAATAACCAAACATGAGAGTTTTGAGTGGAATCTCAGTTCAGTAACTTTTAAGCATCACTGCATATGATAGACTCTTTTGTTGATTTCAACGGCTCAGTCAGTTTTAGTAATATATTGCCAGAATTGATTCTAGTGGTGAAGACTTGTGTAGAACCAGCCAAACTTTTGAATGTAATAACAGAAATGCTCTGACCTTGCTAACCGAATGATCCTCTGTGGCTCAATCGGTTAATGCACGTCAGGCTATATGACAGTTCCGTATAGGATACAGGTTTGATTCCTGTCAGAGGACAAATATTTTCTATGAAAATTTTTCGGACATTCAGGCTGGTAAATGTTATTAATACTGTTTAAAATAAACAGAGCATTTACTTAAATATTTGTATCTACAAAAAGAATGTATAAACATAAAAATGTCTTAAAATAACTGTCAGACTTTATCCATTTCATATATATATATATATATATATATATATATCTCCAGGTAAAATGAGAACAAATGGAGAATAATTCCACTGTTAATACAGAGTAAAACTAAACAATATTTATTTTAGGATATTAAAACAAAAACATGTTAAAATTGCTACACAATGGTAATTATGTTTCAAAACTACAAATGTGTCTCCTCGGCCGATGGTAAACAACTGGTAAGTGAACAATTAATTTAATTTTAAATGTAGAATACTTTCCTCTTTTTTCAAGAAAAAAAAAACAGAATTAAAGGTAGGAATTGTAGGCTTTACTGTGATTAACCAATCAAAGTCAACCTACACTAAATTTATACTCACTGAAAAAATTTTGTTAATATAGGTCATGACATGAAGTTGTCAGCATATAAATCCTAGACAATTTTATTATGGACAAATACAAATGGTTACATTATTTCATATGTATAGAAGTCTAGTGTTCAACTTTCCTTAGAAGTAAAACGAAAGAAGAAGGGAGGTAATTTAACAAAATGCTAACTAGTTATATGCTCAGTCACATTCCTTCATAAAATTTTGTAGTTGATAAATAAAAGCCCAATTTAAGAAACTGATATTTAATTTAACTGTTTAAAAAAAAAAAACACAGATCATAAATACAAACTACTTTGGCAAATTAATATGCAACCATTAAATAAAGAGCATCCATATAAGATGTTAATGATACTAATTAATATACAATGTTAATAATACTAACTAAACACCTGTACATGCATACAAGATGTTAATAATAAGTAAACATCAATACAGAGCTACATCAAATCAAAATGAATCTTACAAATAGAATAATAAGCCATATCAAGTGTACTGCAGTTCATCTACTGATTATTACTATAAGAAAAAATATTATCAAATTCAAAGTTTAAACATGTTGTAAGGTAAATGATAGGCCTACAATTTAGAGTTAATTCACTTCTTTGGTATAATAAGAAGTTTTTATCAGAAAATCTGATAATGTCTAATTTTTCCTGTAAGCATAGAAAATTTCCCTTTCCCCTTCCATTCTGCTATATTTGCCCTTTTATTCTACTGCATTCTTTGCAGAGTCCATCACTTTTCAAATTCTTCATATCTAAAAAGATTCTGCTTTCTTATTTGCCACAGCTAACCTCCCAAAACGTCAACATGACAAAAAAATATAATTGATAGCTAAAACACAGATATAAACTTACCAATTCACTGCTTTCCACGGGTTGTTGATGTCCACACTCACCAAGATGGCTATCACAGGAACAGTGACGACAAAACTCATACTATATCAAGAGAAGATTTAAAATAGAAATTATTTTTAGTGGCTCGAAGCTTCAACATCATTGATATTTAGATTCCCAACTCATTTTCTGTCTGAATTCCTGGGATGAGTAGTTATCATTATTTATATTTGCTCCAATATCCTGATTTTTTGAATTATTAGCTTTGAATCAGATATCTGAAGGAATCAGCTCATATGCTAGGTTATGACAACTTCCTCAATAGACTTAGCATAAAAATCAATACTATATAGGAGACATTAAAGAAATAGAAATGACAGCAAAGCTTCAGCAGCAGTGGTAACAAAAGATAAGTAGTGATGAAGGAGATCAAACATAGCAGCAACAGCAGTCAGGCAAGAAAAAACATTAAGTTCAAGTTCTAGGTTCAGGATTGCCCCAGAACTAACGGTGGTTTGCAAATCTAGTGGCATAGTAATTAGGAGTTCAATCCCTGGACTAGTTAGTACACTCATAATCAGTAATTAAGCAATACTACAAAAGAACAAGAGGAGATATATCCCAATCTACTCCATAAATTGAATAAAGGGTTAAATTAGAATTTCCTCAAAGGTCATCCTGATTAACAGAAACCTAAAAAAAGCCAGAGGGGACAATGGCCAAAATGTTGTGATAATAACAACAAATACGAGGATATTAGTCCAAATGGAAGTAATGTAAATAAGTTCATTTTATTCACTATCAGATACATTTTAATTTAATCCAAATACAGGTGTGGTTTGGTTTGTTTTACAGCATATAGACCTCAATGGGTTATTTGATGCTGACAAGATTTTTAGGATAGATTTGTATAAATAGATTAAACCCAGTGAGTGAAATAAAGGGTTCAGTTCAACATTCCAACCACCTGAAGAAGGTTAGAGCATACAACGTCCGAAACATTGTAATAAATATGGCGACAAAGATGAGGACATAGTCCGAATAATGTAAATAGTGTACATAATACCTCATCTCAAAAATATAGACAAGTCTTTGAAACTATTCCAAGACCCCAAAGGAATCTCTAATTTACCATTATTTACACTATTTACGTGCAGACTAAACCAACACCTTAATCCACTAGGCCAGTGGCTCTCAAACAGTACAGCATGCCTCATATGTGCGTCGGAAGAGGATAGCAGGTGAGATGGAATGATTGAAAGACAATCAAAGATTTAGAAACAGTTTCAAAAAATTCATATGCCAAAAATAAACATGATTTCAAAATTTAAAATATTATTACGGATTACTTGTAATTGCATGCATGAGTCCCAGTAGAAATAGTTATAAATAATTATTGACTGATTTTATCATTGTGATTTTTTCATTATATCAAGTATTAAGAATATAGTAACTAGGGTCTGCAAATTGGAGGAGAGAGTTATCAATGGTTTGGGAATGTAGTGACATAGTAATTGTGTATTCAATTCCTGGGCTGTGCAGTGTGTACTTGAAATCAGTAGAAACAGGACAAGCAAGAACTGAACAGTTCTAAAAAAAAAAAAGAAAATTAAAATTAAACAAGATATCCCTAGACTTGGGTAATGGAATGAGAACAATCTACACTTGTAGAGTAATTAAAGGGGGTCTGCTTTGAAATTCTCTGTAAATTACTCAGACCAACATCCACTCGATGAAGGCTGGAAGGTACATTTGGCTAAATGTTGTAATAACAACAAAGAAGAGGATAATAGTCTACAGGTAAATAGAAAAATTGAAGATATTTTAATGAAGTCTTATCAATGTTCTTTCTTCTTTTATGTGACGTCTCCCTTCAGGATGTAGGCAATCATGGCTCTCCACTTTGTCCTATCTCTTGTAAATCTCAATAAGTTTCATCACTCTGCCACCTCCCCCAGACCACATTCTGTCATCCACATGCTTACGCCCGCCAGATATGTCGTGCGTTGATTTCCTTTGTCTCTCTTTCCCTCTATTCAGATAGAGGAATCAGTCAAATTAGTTACATTCACTTAGGTACAAATACCCTTTGGAAAGGTATGAATTGATCTCTTGTTCTTCCCTCCAGCTATAGGTAAATAGTAAGATAGGCCAAGTCATATAACCTTGGGTGGTAACCAGTCTAGGAGAAGGACAACTCTGAATTCAAAACTGTATGTAACCATAGCAAAGCACATACTATGCAGCTAATGACCATGGAGTTCACAAGGACTATGATCCCAACTATAGTTGGCATTCATTCATTCATTCATCTTTCTAAAAAGAAAAATCAATAAAATATTGATTTACCTTTAGAAAGCTTCATTCAGTCTTGCCCACTCACATTACACTATTTAGTTTCTTTCTTAAACTTCTTGCAATGTTAATCTTTTTGTTTTATTGCTTCTACTTTATACAAATTCTTTTATGTGACGTGTTCCTTCAGGATGTAGGTGATCATGGCTCTCCACTTCTTCCTATCCCTCTCAATAAGTTTTGTCCCTTTCTCTCAGACCCTGTTCTCTGATCCACTTAAGCCTGCTAGGTATGTCACGTGTTGCTTTCCTTTGTCTCTCTCTTTCCCTCTATTCACCCTGTGACTATCAGATTCTCCAAGCCCCCCTTTCTTATGTCCCAGAAATGTCATCTGCCTCTTCCTGATGTTAAGTATAAGCTTCCTCCTTGTTTGCATCCTCTTTACAACCTCAGTGTTGGTCACATGCTTGGTCCATGATATCCTTAGCATCCTTCTGTAGAACCATACCACTGTTGCCTTGAGTCATCTTTGAGGAGATTGTCCAACATTTACTACCATAAAGTAGGACAGATATTATGTAGCACAGTTCAGTACTCTCTTCTTTGTTGCCAATAAAATCCTCCTGTCTCATAATACTCTGTCTAGCTTTTTGGAATGTGTCTTTGGCCATCCTGATACATCTTTGGATCTCGGCATCGCACTTAATGTTCTGTCAGAACACTTTCCCGATAAGGGAATAGAATAAAATGATTAAGTTTTAACTTAGTATAAGCTCCATTGCCCACTATTATTGAGAAATTACATTAGTCACACTAGTTACCAAAACCTGAAGTAAGCCAGTTAGTGTTAATCTTTTTGTTTTATTGCTTCTACTTTACACAAATTCTTTTATGTGACGTCTTCCTTCAGGATGTAGGCGATCATGGCTCTCCACTTCCTCCTATCCCTTGTAATTCTTAATATGTTTTCTAATTTTGCTACTTATCACACTCTGTTCTGTCATCCACTTGCTAGGTATGTCACACATTTCTTTCCCCTCTCTCATTTAGTACATCTGTCCATCCCCCCCTTTAAAATAGCCATATATTAACCCATCAAAACTAAATTTTGGAGAGAAGTGCAGATAGGTAAGGCAGTACAAAGCACAATTGGTTTAACCCTAGAACACTAACCATCAATTAAAGTTACACCACTACTAACCATGGGTATATCATACCCGATTTTGAAAATATCAAAAAAAATATGAAATATAAATCTTTATTTGAAATATTTTACATGCAACCACTTAAAACTTTGTACTTTGAGTTAACATTAATAGTAACTGAAAAACATATTTAGGTAAGAAAATTAGGTACTGAAAATTGTAATTAAAAATAGAGAAATTTGCACTGGGTACTATATACCCATGGTTAGTGTTCTAGGGTTAATGAGGGTGCATAAAAACTGTGATGTATTTTTCCAAACAAGTCAGCTTATACAAAAATTTCATCAATGCGAAATTGAAAGAAATGTAGAGTTTGTAAAATCTCGACAAAAAATTTTAGCGATAACTTCAACAATATTAAATAATATGAAGATTTCAACATGCTAGTCTTAATAAAAAGTGGATGGAGTGATTTGTTTTTAATGGTTCACAAAACTTTTGCAGGTTATTTAAAGCTAGAATATATTTTAGATTATAATAATTTTGGGGGGAGATAATGATTTACTGATACAAATCCTATTAATTAACCCATAGGTGGGGGAGAAGAGGTGGATTCATACAAAATAATAATTTATAATGTGGATATAAAGTGAGGGATCCATTCCATATTGCAATCGATATATAATCTGATCCTTCACTTTGTGGCCGTTATAGTTTCTATACATTTATATTCCAGAGAAAATAAATCTAAAAGACATGTCAGTGTAGCTAATCCATATTTCATTGACTTCTTTTCTATGTCTTATCAACATTTTGCAGGTTATTTAAAGCCAGAAAATATTTTTAGATTGTAAGAATTTTTGGGGAGATAATAATGATTTACTAATACAAGTCCTACTAATTAACCCATAGCTGGGGGGGAGAAGAAGATGGATTCATACCTTTCCTAAGGGTATTTGTGCATAAGTGAATATAATGAACCTGACTGGAATTGGAGCTCAGCTCTCTGATTTCTAATTCTGAGCCATTATCTATTACGCCATTTGCACATCCAAGCTTACAGTGCCTGGTATTTCCAAGCAGTCACCCATCTTGGTAGTGACCATACTTGATGTTGCTTAACTTCAATGATTATAGGAGAACCAGTGTTTGAACTTGATATGTTCGTAAACCAATAAAAATTGGAAATTAATATATCACATTTGATAGCCCAAGAGACACGTGCATATTAGAACTGACCAGATGGGATCACAGAGTCATTGTAAACTCCACAATCCTTTCTTTAGCTGCATAGTATGCACTTTTCCAGGGATACATACAGTGTTTGAATTCAAAATTATCCTTCTCCTAGACTGGTTGCCAACCAAGGCTAAAGAGCTCTGTCTGTCCTATTTACCTATAGTTGGAGGTTTTGAATTCAGAGTTGTCCTTCTTCTAGACCAGTTGCCCACCCAAGGCTATAGGACCAAGTCTATCCTGCTATTTTACCAATATCTGGGGCAGAAGAGATAGATTCATGTAAATGAATGTAATGAACCAGACTGGAACTCAAACTCAACCCTCCGATTCCTCAATCCGAGCTTCTATCCATTACCCCACCATGCCTATTAGATGCAGCCCTATTCCTGCAGGGCATAGTCAGGAAATCTGTAGCGTATTTAAGCATGTAATGTTTAATACAATCTAGCATTACATTATACAAGCCATTTAGCAAAACGTGAAAATATTACTGTATATAAAAAGCAAACTTGAAAATATTACTGTATATAAAAAGCAAGCTTGAACAGTTGAACGTAAAACACACCCACCTAGTCAGCATTCTTCTTTGAGCAATTTATATGATGAACATATTTCTCTGCAGCCTTAAAGTTATGTTTCCCAGTTAGTGTTTTACCATTACCAGTATGTCCTTTCAGTTGCATCTCTTTCTGTAGTTTCCAACTGGTTAGTAATAGGAGTATGTGGAGGAATATTTAGGTATGATGTATCAACTGGTACCAATGAGTATTGCCGGTATTTGATTGTACTCATTCTTTTTACAGTACCAGTAATAATAATAATAACAGCAATGTCTTCTAGGGGTTGATGTGTTCTGCATATCTGTTCATGAGAGAGAATGGGGTGGTAACAATATAGCTGGGTGTCAAATGTTGTTTTTTTTAATTATTTTTTTTTTATGTTTGAATAATGAGGTAGCCTAGTCTACTTGGGAGACATCTAGATACCTGGGGAATGCTCTCAATTGAGAAGGCTGGGATACCCAAACCTGAAGGTATTTCTATCCTGCAAGATCAAAAACTGTAACCGTATTGTACACACTGAGCTGTGGTACATGTAGCTGGTATACCCTTATCTGACTGGGTGTCATGATGGGTACATTAAGCTCCGTATATTTGTATCTCAGTGTCATTTTCTTGATGTCCTGTTCTCACACAAAATAATAACAACAACTAGTAATAGCCATAAAAATTTCACAACTTTTACTTGCATTATTTACATTACTCAAACTGTTATCCTCATCTTCATTGCCATATTTACAATGTTTCACCTGTTGTACACTCCGGACTTCTTCAGGTGATTGCAATTTCAAACCAAACCCTTTATTTCGTTCACCAGAGTAGACTGTTCTAGTTCCACATGCCATGCCTCTTGCAGATGTCTCGGTTATTTCCCTTTAACTCAACTCTCCAAGTTTTGATTCACCACTGGTGTGGCCTGGTATTGAACTCACAACTCTTTGGGTCTAGTCACTGGATCTAACCAATGACAGGTTCAGCTCGAAATTCCAATCACCTGAAGAAGGCTGGAGCATACATCTTGATGACAGTCTGAATAATGTAAACAATGAAAGTAATCATAATACCTCATCTCAGAGATATAGACAGATATTCAGTTTTTCTATTTCAATTTTTTGATGAATCTTAATTCTTAATTTAGTGATTGGATAAACTCCTTGCAAATTTCACAATTGTAAAATACCCACAGAAATTCCCCCATTGCCTCATTAAATATTTTAGCTTAAAAACTTTGACAAAATATTGCAATAACAATACCAAGTATGATTGCAGGTCATTATTTAAAGAAGTAAGAGGGTACAAATAAAAAGATTTAAAATTGGCAAGTTTTTCTATTTCACTGAAGCAGAACTTAAACACGTGGTAGCGTTATCAACTCCTTTATCTTCCCTTACTTTTTCTTTCATTGAAACCAAACAGTGTCTATGATCTATCTTCAAACTGGGTCCGAGCAACCTCCTAGGTGTGGGTGAGATGATCAGGAGGAGGGGGGTGAATATAGTCAAAGAGTGAAATGGTTCTTAAGCTAATGATTGAATAAGCTCATGGCGAGTTCTACAACTATAAATACCCATGGAAATTCCCTCATTGCATTCTTAAATATTTGAGGTTAAAAATTTTGACAAAATATAACAACCTTAAGTATGAATCCAGGTCATTATTTAAAGAAGTAAGAGGGTACAAATGAAAAGATTTAAAATTGGCAAGTTTTCATATTTCACTGAAGCAGATGTTAAACACAGTATTAGAGTGGTACTGCCTCCTCATTCTTTCTTTCCCCCTTCATTTCCCTAAAAGTAAATGGCGTCTTTCTTCTGTTTTGTGGACCAGGAACAAGCAAACTATTACCTACCTATCCTTGGAATCAAACAGCAATAGCCATTCATTTATCTGAGGTAATGGCAGTGTATAACATATATGTTAAGGAAGGAACTGGAATATAATATGATAATGAGATCATTTGATTAAAGAGTATTAAGGAGTTAGTCTACATATGTTGTAATGGTAAAAATGCAGTTGACAGAGAATGTTAGGGATAAAATTAGCCTACAGGAGACCTCAACTTTGCATATGAGATATTTCTTGAAAAAAAAAAAAAAAAAAGTTTTTTATATGCTGTCAAATACAATAAATATTTTGGTTTTTCCCTTAAAAATGAACCAATTGCCATGAATTGAAAACGATCAAATATTCCTACTTGCTGCATTTACTTACATGACAGGAAGAACAATTGATTGTGCTAGCATCGGTTTCAGGCATCAAACCTTCTCCACATTTTGGATTGGGACATAAGACTCCACCTTCTTTTAACAAAAATTCTTCTGTACCAAAATTCTTGAAGCGTTCATACTGCAAATAAAGGGTGCTTCATTAAGACAGATCAAAGTCAGCAGTAAATAAATCGGTGTTGGTGAAAATTTATTTATTTCTCTATTGGATCTTATTTAAGTCTTGGCAATTATGTGTGAAAAATAATATCGCTCAAATATCTGAATCTGAAAGAAAATGAAAAAAATCATTAGATGCTTAAACTTATTTTGTATTAAAATCGGTCCAAGTTATTGGAACACCCTTTACAAATGGAACCCAACAATTTGCTTCATTTACACAAGCATGTCTACATAGGTATGGTTTTACTTATCACCAAGATGCTACAGTCAATCTCCTGCAAAAAAATTGACCAATATTGACTACAGAAATGGCCTAGCTTTCACTGCAGATGCCATTATCAATGCTGCAGTTGTACTTCATCTAGAAAATTCTGCAAACAATGCTGGACTCTATGTCAATGTCTTTAAAACTGAATTTGTAAGCTTCAACCAGCAAGGCTCAATAAAAACTGCCTTGGGAAACTCAATAAAATCTGTCAAATCTTTTACATAACAAGGAAGCGAGATAAAAATTCTACTGAAAACGATGGGAAAATTTGTATTGCTAAAACCTGGGCAGCCTTGAATAAAATTGAAATAAATTGAGCCCCAATCTATTTAATATTTTCTAAGACTATACTTTGCTCATTTATAAATGCAAATGTGATGAGATGGACACCAGTCATTTAAGCATTCCATACCACATCCCAAACGAATCTACCAATAGAAGACAGCAATCCTGACTTTCCCTCCAGCCTGATTTGTCTTTTTACAGCTTATCAACCCTTTTAAAGTTATTTAAAGCCAGAAAATATTTTTAGATAGTAAAAATTTTTGAAGGATAATAATGATTTACCAATAAAATTCCTACTAATTAACCCATAGCTGGGGGAAGATGTAGATTTGTAGCATTACCATGGGTATTTTTGCATAATTGAATATAACAAACCTGACTGAAATTGGAACTCGGCTCTCTGACTTCCAATTCTGAGCCATTATCCATTACACCACACACACATCTGAGTACACAGTGCCTGGTAGTCTCAAGCATTTACCCATCTAGGTACTGACCAGGCTAGACACTGCTTAACTTCAATGATCATACAAGAACTGGTGTTCCAACAAGACCATCCTTCTTCGAACTTTGTTGACTGGTGCTACAGAATCACCAACAAAGAACTGTACCAAAAAACAGAAACCACATCACTTGAGGACTACCAACAGTAGCAACAACTAAAATGGATAGCACATGTAACTCAAAGAGAAAATAATGACATACTCAAGATGATGTTATTCCACACTACTTCAAATAAATGGTTACGAAGGAACCCCCACCAATATTAAAAAGAGAGACAACAGCTACAGGACTTGAGAAACCTATTTTCCTGAAAAGTTGTTTTAAGAGATAAATTAAATAAATTTCTACTGACAGCAGACTGGATGATCGGTCAATGAATGCTGAATGTTTCCTTGTAAAGAAACAGCTAATATTACTATTCTTCTTTTATGTGCAGTGTCCCTTCAGGACGTAAGCAATCATGGCCCTCCACCCCTTCCTGTACCTTGTAGGTCTTCATAAGTTATGTATTTTGTTATTTCTCCCAGACCCTATTCTGCTATTCACTTGCTTAAGACCGTTAAGTATGTCACATATTGCTTTCCCCAGTCTCTCTTTGCCTTTATCCGCCCTGTGAGTATCAGATTTTCCAAGCCCTCCTTCCTCATCACATGTCCCAGAAATTTCAGCTGCCTCTTCCTGATGCTAAGTATAAGTTGCCTCTTTGTTTCCATTTTCTCCAAGACCTCATCATTGCTTACATGTTTGGGCCATGGTATCCTTAGCATCCTTCTGTAGAACCACATTTCTGTTGCTTCAAGTCTCTTTTGTCCAGCATTCTCTGCTATACAGGAGGACAGATATCATGTAACAGTTCAGTACTCTATTCTTTGTTTCGAATAGAACTTTTCTGTCTCATAATACTCTGCTTAGCTTCTGGAAGGTGTCTTTGGTCACCCTAATACTTCTTTGGATATCAGTGTTGTAATTACTATTCATTTAGAATACTTCCCAGATATTTAAATTTCTGTACCTGCTTGTGTCCTGACCCATAAATTGCATTTCGGGCTCATCTTTTCATTAATGACCCTGCATTCTGTCGTCTTGTAGTTTATGCTTAGTTCCTTCTTCTTGCTCTCCTTTGCTACCTTCTGCAGAATGTTTTGTACTTTCCTTTCCATGTCTGCTATCAGTACTGTGTCATCTGCATATATTATGTTGTTATGATTGCGGCCGCCAAAGATCTGATCCACTCTGGTTGTTAAGATTGCGGACGCCAAAGATCTGATCCACTCTGGTTGTTCTGCCTGCAGCAGATATAAGCATAGTATAGATATCATCTTCTAAATTCTGTATCCCTTCAGGATGTAGGCAATCATGGTTCTTAACAACTTCTGATCATTTGTAGCTCTCAACAAGGTTTGTCTTTTCACCATCCATCCCACTTCCTGTTCTGCCAACCATTTCCGTAAGCTCGTTAGGTCTGTTACTGGCTGTTTTCCCTCTGCCCCTCTTGCCTTCAATATGTCCTGTGAGTGTCAAATTCTCCAAGCCTTTTTTTTTGCATTATGCCAAGAAATTTCAACCATCTCTTTTCAATTTTAAGTAAAAGCACCCATGGTATTCTCAGCATTTTAAAGTATAATCTGAGTAAAAAAAAAAAACATACAAGTTCTGATTGGAAAGCATGAAGATTTGTCTATGAATATTGTTGTTACATATGGTTCGGTGTTCAGAATTTCTTGATAAAATCCAAAAAAGAATCAAATCAGCAATGTTATTGGTCCTAACCTGGCATCTCAGATTGTCACTCTCCCACCACAATAAAATTGCTATCCTGTGCCTTTTCTATAAATCCTTTCATGGTAATTGTTCAGATGAGTTCTTCTCTATGGTACTTGAACTTTAAGAATTTAAACACATTACAAGATTGTTAGCAAAAGGTCTCATCAAATAACAGTTGGATTGGCTCAATGCAACTGTAAGTTCTCTGCTAACAGTTTCTTCTCTCGCACTTTTCACTTGTGGAACATCCTTCTGGCTCCATGCTTTCTAGCCAAATTTGATCTTCAAAAATTTGAATCCAATGTCAATCATTATCTACTGTTTTCCGAATTACTCTTCTATTGTTCTTGCTCTTTAGTAAGGTTTCTGTTTTCTAACGCTTTCACACCCAGTAAACTCTTGTTGCTAGCGGTGAATTCAATTAAAAAAAAAAATGAATATATATATATATATATATATATATATATATTTAGGACCTTGAATAAGTTATCACTCATTTTTCATGAAAAGTAATGTTTTATTTACAAAAAATTAGTAAGAAACATGTCACTGAAAGTATTGTTCATCGCTAACCACTAATTTTTCTGGTCTTTCTGACAGCATTTGAATTCCACATTAGAAAAACCACATGCCTTTTTGGCTGACCACAAGTCGACCGATTTTTTGGCATCTTCATAAAAATGAAAGTGCTTCTCAGCCAGGCCATGTGCCATCGATTGGAACAAGTGATAATCAGATGGGGCAATGTCTGGTGAATACAGCGGGTGGGGTAGGATTTCCATTTAAGCGTTTCCAATTAGGTTTTCACACATTTTGCAACATGTGGCCTAGCGTTGTCATGTTGTAAAATCACCTTGTTGTCTCTCTGCTCATATAGTGGCTGTTTTTTCTTCAATGCTTGGCTCAAACACATCAATTGCAATTGATAGTGATTTCCCACAATGGTTTCAGCAGCTCATAATAAACTACACCCAGCTGATATATATATATATATATATATATATATATACACAGCCAAATAAAGAGAAGGTCAGATTAAGAATCCACAGTTCTTTAGCATTTACTTTTTATAAAGTGCCCAATACAACATAGAGCATAATATTTTGATAATATTTTTATTTAAAAAATATTTTACATCATGACACAGAAATTTCTATGTTTCGGAATTTTAAATTTGTTCCATTATGTTTTTGCAGTAACATCGCTTGATAATGAAACAAATTTAAAGTACTGAAACATCAAAATTTCCATGTTGTGATGTAAAAATATTTTTAAAATAAAAATATTACTAATATATATATATATATATATATATATATATATATATAAAGGTAATAAATATGTTGGTATATAATCCAAGCGGATCCTAGTAATATAAAATATTAAAACTGATCCACAAATAGAGCTCAATTTATTTATTATTACAGAGCAAATAATTAGTACACAATAAAATCCAAATTCACCTCATCTGGGGAATAAGCTTCTTTTTTTTTCTGTCACAGTTAAATTTCTAATTCTGACACAAACTCAGTCTATATCAGGGTTGAATAAGACTGACAAATTTTGTCAGTTGAAATAAGCTTATTCCCCATATGAGTTGATTTTGGATTTTATTGTGTACTATATATATATCATGCACAGACACATCTATTTAAGTATAATCTGATTTAAAAAATTATTTTCTCACCTCTTCAGCTCCAAGGACATGAAAATGGTGCACTTCCTGAATATAGGAATTTGGGCAGTGAGCTAAAATATTAAAATAAAATACATTTGAAAAAAATTAATAAATTCTGCATTGGTAAATTTCATGTATTTTAAAAGAAGTCAATAGATTTTTATACAACTTAAGCAGGAACATTTCTGGGCTGTTCTTCTCATAGACTGGTTGCCAATCAAGGCTAGAGAGTACGATCTACCTTATTATTTAACCAAAGCTGGTTTCCCAATGGTATTTTTTTGTAAAAAATGGATGCAACAAATGCCAATAACTAATTATACTACATTAATGACTAATGATATAAGGTTGGTCGATTTAGTTTGATTAATTAGTTTAATTTACTAATATACATAAAAAAATTAGAATTATATCTATTTCATTGAAATTTATTTTTTTACAGTGATGTTCACACCCAGGAGCCCCTCAGGTTAGAGGGTAACAGAGTAAAAGGCAAAGTTTATGTGGATAGAAGGGGAAGATACCTGTTAACTCAAGACTTGAACAGGTTAAGATTGTAGTGATCAGGAAAACATCCTGTTGGGAATCGGTTCCACAGAGTTGGTCAAATGGAACTTACTTCTTACCAATGGAATACAGAGGAAATGAAAGTGACTTACTCGGGTGGAAATAAGCCATGTAGTTCATCTGAGTACTTTCGATAGAAATAGTGATAAAACAGTTAGAGGCTAGAGACATTTCATCTGTGAGAGAAGGGTTGTAAGGTGGAAAAATAATTTGTCACCTGCAAAGACGTTTTTGGGACTCTATCAAGACTGGAAAGTGAGTGCCAGGTAGCTCCAGTCCAAATATGACAGCAGTACTCCATTTTAAGCCCAATCTAGCTCTTATAAATGTGGTGGATAGAATGAGCAGTTAAATATGCTGTTAAATATTTTAAAAAAAAAAGAAATCTGATTAACATTTTGTAGGGGGGGAGAATCTCAAACACTTTGCCTCTTCTCCAGTTACCGTATTAAACCAGCTTTTCTTGAAAAGACACATACATCAGTGGATTCCACACCAGAAGTGTAGCCTAGTATATAGCCTGATGCAGTTACCTCCCTTGTTAAACGGATTCATTCCGGTAAAGTTACCTTTTCAAAAGAGTTACATTTATTTCTAATTGATACGATCATTATCTTGGAAAAGGGTCTTATCATAGCCCCTTCACTACTCCATTCACATGATCAAGGGCATACGTTATATATCTTCGTGACCTTGACCTTTTTTTCATTGTGTTGTCCACTCCTTTCAATTTAAGTTCATTTAAATTCATAATAACCCTAATGTCTTTTTAGTTTCATTTACATTTAATTTTTCAATGTCAAATATTTCCTTCAAATCACACATGCTGAAAACATTCAATAATTTCAAAGATTTCATTATACTAATAATATTTGAAAGAAACAGATGAAAATATAATTCAACTAATCCTCTGTCTTATAAAAATATTAGAAAAATTTCAAGAAAAGTTTTTAAAAATAACTAAAGTGATGCTAGTTTTAAAAAATACTCTAATATTACGGGAGCGGGAAGCAATTAGCTAAAAATTTATTGTATTAAAGCATCAAAGCAATGATAAATTTTAAACTTTAAATCAATGGTTATTTTGTTAAAATCCAATAAAATTAAATCAATTTTAAATTTAGTTTTCATTGTTTTTAATGAGTTTCATGTCTCAATATTATCTGAATAAAAAAAAGAATCAAATTAGTAATAATAATTAGAATTAATTACAATTGTTAAACAAAATTAAAGAAATCTAATTTATGACAGGTCGGCATTGATAAATTACAGTAGTTGAACCCTCTTAACCGTGGAGAGAAGTTTTGGACAACTTCTATCCGTGGTTTACAATATTTTATGATTCAGAGCAGATTTTCGGTTTTCCAAATGAAAAATTTATGATTTAAATTCTCTAAGGATCCTGCTTTTAACTAATATAAATGAAGGGAGAAGTGAAATTTAATTTCTCAAAATTTCATAAAGTAAGTGGGGGTAAGAGATGAAAACAAAAATTTTTTTACCAAGATTTTCTAAAAACAAAATTTAAAAAATAATTTAATTTATGTATGAATAAGTCCTGAAAATTTCATTAAAATCTGACAATTATTTGATTTTTACAAGAACTTCCAAATCAATGCATTTTTCACCAAAAAAAAAAAAAAAAAAAAAAAAAAAATTCCCATATTAACTTTTTTAAATTTATTGTTTGTATAGAAAGAATTTATATATGCCTTCAAAATTCAATTGTAAGTTAGAAAGTCTACAGCATTCATAATAAGCATTGTTGTCATTTGATATTCCACATTACTACAAATTAGAGCTGAAAAAAATTATGGAATTATTTAAATAAGTTAAAATAATTGGTTAATTAGATTTTTGTAAAACTGTATGAAATTATTTAAATAAGTGGAAAAAATAGTAATTTTTCTGAATTAATTTCTATTATTAATTAGAAAATTATACAAATATTTCTCTCATTGTCAGTTCTATATAGCTATGCCCAAAATCGGAAATTCAAGTGGACTTGATAAAGCATAAGGACAAAAAAAAAATCTTTAGAAAATAAGATGTCTTGCTGAAAATATTGTTTATGCAGAAACTTTAGAGGTAAGAGAACTTCTATGGCACCTTTCTTTTCTCTGTTCATAGAAATGATAGTTGGCTAGTTTGTTGAAAGTTTTAAAACAATATATACTGACATATATATATATATCAGATTAATTTGCATAAAATAAATTCTAAAAATTGAATCAATTCAATATAATGTTTATTTCTATAAAAACTTGTCTGTTTTTCTATTTAAATGAAAAAGATTTAGTGAATTAAATGTTTTTTTGTTTTTTTTATTTTATATACTCTTTATCAATTCAATATTTGCTGTGGGATTCTGGAGAAAATTCTAAATACTTTCAGACAATTTCAAAGATTTCTCAAAGAATTAGTTTCCATTTCTGTAATATAGGCTAAATTCCAAAAATTTTATTCAAAATTATTTTTATTTTCTCTCATCGTCTGCTCTATGTAGCTATATCTAGAGTAGAAAATACAATTGGATTTAGAATAATGACATAAGGGGCTTTAGAAAATAGATGTCTTGCTGAAAATGTTCTTTATGCAGAAATTTTAGTGAGGCAAAAGAACTTTTATAACAACTGACTTTTCTCTGTTCATTGGGTGGCTATTTGGCTAATAACAACGTATGAGGACAATAATCTTAATGATGAGGAATTATCATTATTTTGAAATATTCAAATGTTTCTCTCATGGTCTGCTCTATGTAGCTATGTCCAGAGTAGAAAATACAATTGGATTTAGCATAATGACATAAGGGGCTTTAGAAAATAGATGTCTTGTTGAAAATATTGTTTATACAGAAACGTTAAGAGTAAGGTAAGAGAACTATGGCAGCTTTCTTTTCTCTCTTTGTAGAACAGATGCTTGGCTAGTTGAAATAATTGCTAAATCTAGAAAATGCCTTTAGTTCCCAAATATTTCAGCAGTAATATGCTGGTAGACTGGTATGTTGATTCCTTGTGCTTCAGGTTGTAGGTTTAAATCAGGGCATTGTTCAATCAGTTTTATATATATTCACTTGAGTATAACAAAATCAAATACAAAAGTGACAATGACTTATATAATGAAATTCTGATTTTCTAAAACTGAACAACAAAACTAGGGTTTAACTTTACATAATAAATAAAAAACCTTGCAACTCAAAGATTTTTACCAAATTCTAATTCTTGGAGGTGGTTTTTACCAAATCTGGTAATTGACACCAAATTTTAGTTTGGATCTTCTCTCCAGGCCAATACTATTAAGAAGTCACCTTTTCAACAAATTGACCTCAGTGAGATTTGCATGGTCTCATTGTCAGAATGCTAACATTCTAACCCCACAGCCATGTCCTCAATTTTACTAAGTTTATTGATAGTATAATTAGTGGAAAATGTCAAAACAGCCAATCAAGGAGACCGAGTTTTGTGGAAAGATAATGAGAACTTGTTTGCATTTTCTACCTGGACAGCGAAGTGTGTAGCCATATTTTTCTGTCTGTTGAAAGCGTCGCTCATTCAAGCAGATGACACAGTAAATTTTGAAGCAGTTTAAACACATTGTGTGTTGTCCATCACAGGGGAAGACAATGACAGGTGTACTGGAAAAGGAAAAAGAAAAAAAATCAATACATAACAATGGCAATCATTATATAAAAAGTGTTTAATTATTTTCTAAAAAACACAAAAAATATGAAAGTATACTTTTGTATATTACAGATATTTTTCTAAGAAAAAAATTTGGCTTAAATTAATGTTCTATTAATTATTCAAACTTGTAGCCTTGTTATGCAAGGTCACTTTTATTACATCTAATAGGAATGAAAGGCTACATTTTTTATATGTTTTCTACCATACATTATACAAATGCTCCCAGAAGAGTTAGCAGTGATGTCTTTCTGGTTTCACTAATAAGTGAGGTTAATTCTTATTCTTTTATTGTCCTCTCCCCTTAATAGTATATTTTTCTCATATTCTCTAACACTCAGTAACCTTTTGTAACTTAGTGGCTTTATTGCCTTGATTGGGGTGAAATGATTAGAAAACAACAAAGACATGCTTGTTTTAGCAATTTTTCAATTTTGGCAGTTTTTTCTTTTTTTGTTTTTTTTAAGTATTTTGATGATTCTACCATAATCCTAAGAAAATCTTCCATTCAAATATATTACTCCATGGCATTATTTCATCTGGTTTCTTGATAGGTTACTTGAAGTAATTCACTTCCTTTAGTGTGGAAAGCTGTTATTTAACATTTTCTTTCTCCCTTCCATTTTCTGTTTCTGGTAATATATTTCCTTCAAAATTGTATTGCTGGTAATAGATAACTATTTGCCCATAGCTGGGACTCTAACAGGTGCTACCACCCTGGGTCAGGGTGGACCTGGGAACACCAGCAATTAAGAGGTGGTTCAACACTCCTCAAAACCTCCTGATCAGAGGCCTTGCTGCTGGACATAGTTTAACGTCTTACACAGGACGCTGATGTAGTTTAATGTCTTACCCAGGGCACCTACCCCATATATGGGTGGACCTGGGATCAACAGCAATTAAGAGTGGTTCCCCACCAAAAAGAAGACATCTGATCAGAGGCCTTGCTATTGGACATGGTTTACCGTCTTACCCAGGACACGGATGTAGTTTATAGTCATACCCAGAACAGTTGATGAATAGGGTTTCTGCTTTGTCATATTTTAAGATTATGACACTGTGGACAAACTTGTGAATCCCAAGTTCTTTGACTCAAAAGGCAGAAGGTTAAGAGAAGGAAGAAGGAAAATTACACAAGAAAAAGAAAGAAAAGCTTGCAAAATTCATAAGTATAAGCTGGGAGAGAAAGTTGTTCAATTTGTCCTGGAGGGATATTATATTAGTCACCATTGTTTACAGACTGATAATTGTCATCCATTAGTTGGTGAATCAGGAAAGTTGTAGTGAGACATGGAAAATGAACTACAGATAAGTCAGTTGTCAGTCAGCACAAGAAAAAATTCTTCTACATCATAGACTGGAAGACAACACAACAAAAGTACTGACCGGCTTAACATTCAGAGCAGCAGAGGCCTTTTCTGATCTGAACTAACAGTTTGCTAAATGATGTAATGAATATGGATACACCTAGGTTCCCCATCACAGCAATATGATTGGTTGGTGTCAGCCATAAATACAGACTGAGGTGGAGGTACAAGACAACACTTATTGCCTACGTCTATTGCCTACCACTACGACAAGGACCAGTCCATTACGGTTACCTGCTAGATTGTCCTACCTGGTTACAGTAGTCAACAACCACTTTGCTACTTTGAACAAATATATCCTTTTCCGGGATATATCACTAAACATAAACTACAAGTCTTAAATCCTAAAGTGCTTTAACAGATAAATTTCAAGAATTTGATGATTTTGCAAAACGCCATATCTAATATAACTTAACATCAGTCTTTATATGTGTGTAAAAGAGAATCCGACCCAAAATGCCTGAACTGATTACAACCAAACTTTGTGTATGAAATAATTCGCAAAGTTTAACAAAAGTGAAGGCAAAATAAAAATGGTAAGTCAAAAGGGCATTTTTCTCTTGAAATTGCTATTACCGTATACATATTATTTGGTTTGGTTTGGTTTGGTTTACGGTATATCAACATCAATGGGTTATTTAATGCTGACAAGATTTTTATTGCTGGTAATATTTTGTTTTCCTTCAAAAGTGTATTGCTAATATTTTTTTTTTCTTCAAAAATTCATTGCTGGTAATAATTTTTTACAAAAATGTACTGCTGGTATTAAAACCTATTTTTACACTTTCATAGTGTTTTGTCTCCTTTTGGGGAGTTAATTATTTGCCCATAGCTGGGACCATAACAGGTGCTACCACACTGGGTCTGGGTGAACCTGGGAACACCAACAATTAAGAGGTGGTTCCATGCTCCTGAAAATCTCTTGATTTGAGGCCTTGCTGTCAGATGTAGTTTATCGTCTTACCCAGGATGTTATATAATTCAGTAATTTCTATTGTTTCAAAATGCTATTTTTAGAATTTTAATAAAATCATATCATATGGATCTGTATTCATATTTTTCTTCTTCTCGTAATTAAACATAACAACTTCAGATTACTTCTTATTTTAATTTTCCAAAGGGGCTTCATTTGGCCATTCAGTTTCATATAATTTTATTAAAATTTTAAAAATAGCTTTTTAAGATTATAAAAATTACCAAATGAGTAAATGGCAATAACAGGGTCAAGAGAAAAATGCCCTCTTGACACAGCGTTTTTTCTTTTTAGTTCTATGTTAAGCTTTGCCAAAGAGTTTTATGTTGCAATGAGATTCAAGGAGTTCACAATGGTTCACAAAAATTGTTTACTAAAAATATAAAAAACATATTTATTTACTTGTTTGTTGGTTGATATTGGTCAACAAAACTTTCAAAAATTTATGTAGAGAAAAATTTTTGTATGTAAAAAAAAAAGAGAACACATTCCTAAAAAAAATTTGAATCTGACTATTTCTGAGAATGTAAAACAAAACACTAAAATTTAGCACATTTTATAGAAAATTTCAGGAATGTTAGAAAGAAATCTTAGAAAAAGAAAGACCATAATATGAATGTATTAACTATTGTATAAATACATAATAATAAAAATTATATTAATTTTTTTATTATAATAAATGCGTTTACTTAAGAAAAAACAAATGTTTAAATGAAAACGTCACCGTTTGCTATTAAATCCAAGGGAAATAACTCATTCCGAAATATGAAAATTAAAAAAAAAATATTGGCCAGGGTTGATTAAATTTGCTTAATTTAAGAGCCACATGCGAACCACAAGACAAAAACGTTTCGCTGTAACCCTTGAAAACCTGAAAATTCTTTAATTGATAAGTTTCCCACCATTCTTTTCTTCAAGACTAAAGAACAACGAGAAAAGAAATGACAAAAGGTGAATGAAATTCAAGAAAATAGAAGATGGCAATTGATGTTGCATTTAAATTTTTGAAGATTGTAGTCGTCAGGGAAGCAAATAAATGGAAGGGAGTTCCACAGAGAAAAAGAAAATTGTTAGAGTAGAAGTGAAGGTTACATTTAACTATTTCAACAGTAAAAGGAAAGGGCCTAGTAGCATGCTTAAATTCACGTTGTCAGGGCACCAGGAAAAAAAACTTGTCAGAGCAAATGCCATGAAAATATTTGTAGAAAACACAGAGGGAAATAACATCACGTCTATGGTAAAGTAACTGAAGTCGACATGCCTGGTCAGGATCGATTACATTAGTGATCCTTCTTTGGATTTTGGCGGGCAGGGATCATGAAGGAAAATTTTTTATTTGACTTTACCTCTGTCCACCACAAAATACTGAGGTCATAATATCAGTGGAAAAGCGTTAAAAGCACATAAATCATGCTACTGTACAATAAATAAGAATAAAAGTATATAAAATCATATTAAAATATATACATTTACAGTAAATGTTAATATAATCATCATAAATCCTAGAGAATGAAATATGAAAACATCTGTGACTCTGTGCTGTCGTCTTATTTAGAGGTCTTTAAGAGCTCAATATTGGCATTTTCCATTGTATGGAAAATGGTTAATGCTTTTCAAAAGTTATGCACACTTGTCACAAAACTTTTGCTCCTTATCATGTAATCCTTGAAGAAAAGAAAAACACAGTTCAAGAAGCTCTTGACCAGTTTCTTATTAAAAAGCATATTGAACCCCAACAGACAGAATTAACTGTTAAGGCTGATGATCCATAGCCATGTACGTCCGCAATGTAAATAAAAAAATTGAATGTAAATATTGGTAAATTTAACATAAATTAATTTATTTTTTACTATTGCAAAATAATTTTAATAACTGTATTTGTTATTTACAAAATCATTTTATTTTATAATGTCTTACAGCAAACCACATTTACAAATAAAAAGTCTGTTATGTACTGTAAAGATCACCAAATTGTAAACATTTACAAGTATGCACGTACATGTATTCATAAATTTAGAGTACTTTTTTTCTGCACTATATTAAAAGCTAAAATTTATTGGTAAGCTTAAAATAGATTCTTATTGACCATATATTATTAAAAATGCATTTATAAATAAAATACAGAAGTGGGAATGGTTATTTGTGGTTAAGCCTAGTCAGTTATCAGTTATCTCCTGTTAATTCCCTTCTCCAAGTTCTCCACGGTAACCACGGAGATACAGTAACTATCTGTTCCCACCTATCTAATCTTGAACCCCTCGACTGTGTAGAGCCTGATTGGGTACCCGGCTAGAGCTTTGTGACCATCACTATCTTATCAACATTTACATTTTTTTCTACCTATATTTATATATATTACAAATTAAAACTAAGCACAACTGACTATTAAAGGATGAAAAATTTTCACTGTTTAGACATAATTCATGGGTCTTTTTTTCCATGCAAATCTAGATTTCTTTTGCTCTTGCTAATTCTTAAAAAAAAAAAAAAAAAGAAAAAAAAAACTATATAAAATTCACTATTTTTTATCCATGATGTTGAATGTGTTAAAATTCTTCAACTTTTTAAGAAAAATCTCAAGTTGATGTTAAAAATTGCTGCAAAGCATTGTTGATTTATTTATTCCAAAAGCATCAGAATTCAGCCAATAACAAATTTGAAGCAGCTTGAATTCTGTTGCATGAGTTATTTTCTCACATTAAAATCAGTTCATAATATCACATTCAATGAGTAAGTGGAGGGGTAATTTTCAGTGATGGGGGTAAATTTTTACTGCCCCACACTTTGCCTTGGCAATTGGTCTGCATCATGAATATACATACCCTGGTTTTCAAGTCACTCTTCACCACTGGTTAACAATACAACTGATTCTCCAGTCACCTGCTGAATCAGGCTTTATTTAAGAGCCATTTTATTATTATTTTTTGTTTCTAACTTTAAAAGTAAATGTTTATGATTTGAGTAGATGATAAATTAAACATGTTATTTCTATGCAAAAATAGATTTTATAAATTCATAAATGCTTTACTTACTGGACTTCAACACACGTAATGCAACTGATGCGTCGAGCATTGTTGCGGATATGTTTCAGTGGCACTGAATCTGCAAATGTGTGCCTTTGTTTGCAATGAAAAATGAATTTCTGTAAAATAAAAAGAAAAGAGATACAAATGGCAACCAAAAAGACTATGTTTTCATCGGCGCAAGAATAAAAAACGGTTCAGCATAAAACCCATAGGAAGGGCAGATAAACTCTAAAACACAATCTTTAAAACACATTAGTATGGCACAATGTTTGACAAGCTCACCTGGGTGATCCATTTATGATGAGTTTGCTCCTCACTGGGTGCCCCAATACTTTTGTAACAAACAAATTAAATGAAACAAAACGAATAATTCCATTATTATTTACTTTTTCCTGTATGTTTCCAATGAAACATGACCCAGTGCACATGTTAGTACTTTGCATGTCCATTCCATGATGTTGTTCCTTGCAGATTGACCACAGATTCTCAATTGGATTTAAATCAAGAGAGTTTCCGGGCTAGTCTATAGTACTTTGATTTGCTCACTGGTAAGGAGAATGTGGACAATGGTCGTAACTAATTGACAGTCGAGATAGCCTCAAATTTTTATCACACCCAGGCACGGGTGTGATAAAAATTTGAGGCAATCACAGATGACACAATATTTTTCAAGGCCAAACAAATTTCCTCATACACCCCAAAAATAGATTCATATTATATTTTCTCTAGCCCCTACCTCCCTCTCTCCATATATATATATATATGTGTGTGTGTGATAATGATATACACCCCTGTTCAAATTGAAACAAAATTAATAATTCCGTTATTATTTACTGTTTTTTTGTATTTTTCCAATAAAATATGACCCAGTGCACAATATTAGTACTTCGTATGTCCATTCCACAAAGTCTTTACTTTCAGATTGACCACAGATTCTCAATTTGATTTAAATCAAGAGACTTTCCAGTCTAGTCTAGTAGTTTGATTTGCACGCTGGTAAGGCTTCCCAGTTGTACAATGTTACAAATTTTTGTACACTTCCTTGGAGTAACAGACATCACAGACAATGGCCACAAGACAACTAATTGACAGTCAGGACAATAGTGTCTGGGCGTGATAAAAATCTGATGCAATATTTTTCAAGGCCAAACAAATTTCGTCATACACCCCCAAAAATAAATTCATATTACTACGCATCATTGCAAATGACCTAATATGAGGAAAAAGTAGAAATCGATTACACCCTGTTCACTCAAGTGGCTCTAAAACTGACCAAATGGTGAAAGAAAGGAAGTTAAAAATGTTGTTTCAACTACTGTATTTGACAGCATAAAAGATGCATAGTTATATAAGACACACCCTAATTTCATCAGGGAAAATCAAGAAAAAATTAGTAAAATTATTAGTAAATGGTACAGCCTAGGCTATATTTATGAGGTATTATTTTGGTTAGACAAGCCATGATTACAATTAAATGAAAAATAATAGGAAAAAAAGAACACGAACCTATAAAAACTTTATTATATCCAAAGGTAAGAAAACAAAATAAAAATCAAGCAATTATTACAATTGAACAAAACAGTACAGTTACCATTAATATTTTATTCATCTTCAAATCTATTAAATTTGTCATCTTGATTATCAAAACTCTGATACTCATTTTCAATACTACTATCATTGTTGTTAAATAATTCATCTTCTGCTCCATTGAGAGTATTGCTAATATCACACGTTTTAAAAGATTTCAAAATTTCCAGTCTAATATTATTCCAAGCTTTCTTCACCTATTCACAGATTTGTGCAATGCTGGGTCTTTTTATTCTTCCAGTAAGTGTAAGGTCGTGATCAGGCAATGTCATCTACATGTTCTATTGCTCCTTCATGTTTAAGTCTAAGCTAATAGGAGTTGCCAGATAGCTAATTTCGACCGATTATCACAAATTTTAAACCTCCATATGGCATCTAAGATGCAGGGGAATTTTAAAAGATATTTTTAGTAAAAAAACATGTGCAGCTTACATGCCGTCAAATTTGAACAAGGATGTAGATGAGGAGATTTCTCATGACCCATTAGATTGCCTTGAAAAGAAATTCCCTTTCATGACCTTTAGAACAACAGAGTTTATTTTTGGCAGTGCCCTCTCCTTTTCAAGCAGCATGGTACCAGCAGCAAGGTATGATTTTTGGTCTTACTGATGAAGGGGCACTGTTGTTCATTCTAATACAAGGCACAAGAGCCACTCAAAGTAAAGGGTTACTGAATGAGGTTGTTGAAAGTAGATAATGACTGACACAAAACTTGAAGATTGTAGTGATCAAGAAAGCATCCACTTGGGAGCCTGTTCTACAAAGTGGCCGTTCTTGGGTAGAAGCTGTCTGATTGGAACTTTCTTTTTATTAATGGAACATAAAAGGAATACGGATGAACCAACTGTTATACATCATGACGGTCGTCTTTGAGTCTAGAATCCAGAGGTTAGCAGTGAATATTTCGGGGACAGTAGGAAAGCATAGTTCAGGTTAGCAGTGACAAGTTGGCACTGGTCATTCGGGTAGGGTAAACAAAAATGGCCGCCTTTATACACAATGGATAGAATGTTCTGCATCTTCTGGTTAACCTTCTATTGGTAGACTATAAAGTGAGTCAAGGCATTTGGACTAACTCACTAGTTATATATATATATACATACATATACACAAAAAACTGTATCACCAACTTTGCATGAGTGGCATGGCAGGTCTCAGGTATGAAATTTCGAGCAAGTGGCATGATGGAATATAGCACATCCAAAGATTTGCCATGGAAATAGCAAAGAAGTAGCAAGAGGCTAGCAATGTTTCGTCTGTGGGAAAGGGGTATATAGCGTGGAAAATAATTCATCACCCACAAGGCCATGTAAATGGTTGTTGTAATGTAAGTAAAAAGTCTGTTGAGATTGAGAGAGGAGGAAACCCAACCGATTACTCTCCCAGCAACTAAGGGGGTCATTGGCAGAGAGGGGTAAGAGACAGGAGGTAACGAAAATAACACTGCCTTGGAAACCACAGCAACTTGAGGAATAAAATGCCCATGGGACTGACAAGATATCATCTCTTGCCAACAAGCTTTTATTGGCATGATGCATCTTACAAAGACCTGGATCTTGACTAGTTGCAGAGGCCTGTATCTAGACATACCAAGCTGTCCTGCTACTTATAGGAAAAACCTGGATGTAGCTGATGTTGACAAACATGCCTGCACATGATGCGAGGCCTCTTTTGCATCTATATTGATGCACGTTCGCCAAAATACTTTCCAACAATGTTGAGGCTGGAATACTCCATTTTTGGTCCGATTTGACTCTTGTAAAGATAAAGCATGACAGGAGGAGTCAGATACTTTCTGAAGCGGTACAAGGGACCAGGCCATTTTCCCAGCCTCTTTAGCAATGTATTATATATAAGAGTTCCACTTGATGCCTGGGGGAAACTTGAGGCCCAGTAAACATTCAAAGCAAGCTGCCTCATTAAGAGTACAATCACTGATCATGACAGAAAAAAAATTCAAGGTCTGCTTGGTGATGATGGAATGTTAATAGCTTGGCTTTGGAGGTACTCAATGTTAAAAGCCAGTTTTTACACCCCGCTACCCATGACCTGATAGAAAGAAAAAATTCATATATCAAATTGCATGAAGAGTTATACATCACTTATTTTGATTAACTTAGTGTAACAGTCACCAAATTGACTGATATATATATATATATATATATATATATATATTAGTAATGATAAAAGCGTTAGTTATATCAAGTGACAGGATCCAAAGAGTGTGAGTTCAATACCCGGTTAAGGCAGTGGAGAACTAGGAGAGGGGAATTAACAGGAGATAACTGATAACTGACATCCATTAAACATGGCACGTGGAACTAGAACAGTCTACCCCAGTGAGCGAAATAATGGGTTCAGTTTGACATTCCAACAAACTGAAGAAGGCCGAAGCGTACAACGGCTGAAACGTTGTAATAAATATGGCAACAAAGATGAGGACAATAGTCCAAATAATGTAAATAGTGTACATAATACCTCATCTCAGAAATATAGACAGATACTGAAGGGTGATAAATATGGCAACAAATATGAGGACAATAGTCTGAATAATGTAAATAGTGTACATAATACCTCATCTGAGAAGTATAGACATGATAATATTTGTATTTCATATGAATACTATATTATGTTTCTGTTTATGTAGATATAATAGATAAGAACTTGATGAACAGTTTCAGAATGCTAGTAGGAATCTAGTATCCCGAAGCTGTTTGTCAAGGTTTTATGTATTATATTGTGGTGAACAGCCACATAGAAGCAAACGAGCCAGATTGGCTTGCATCTGGTGCAAAAGAAAATAAGTGTCTTATCTCAACATCCGGCATGTGACATCAGCATTTTGCTCCTTGAAAATGGCATTACCCTCCCATCTAACTATTCCAGCAGTATGTGCTGTAACAAGGATTTTTTGTACAGTTTGGCATGGTCTGACCAATAGCAAGTCATGTGCCGATTGGTCGGACTGGAGGAAGCTATTTGCCTCGGGAACTGAGAACAAAAGTAAAGAACACTGATTGGTTGGTCAGCCATGGTGTTAACCTGATAAAAGAGGGCTGAAGCAGTGAGAAGGTAGAACAGTTTTATGTTGGTGAAGTGTGTGGAACGCAAGAACATTGGATTGAACAAGCAGTATTTTGTATTGCACGAATAATGTCCGAGGGATAGAGACTCATTTAACTACAATTATATACATAATTTTTGAAACACAGAGAAAGTTTTGTTAGAAATGAGAAACACTGGTACATAGAAATCTGTAACAAAACCATCACCAGTCAAGGGAGTTAATCCATTTCCGGTTGCTGAACTGGTGAATGTGACAACTTGTCTTACTACCATTTTTTTTCATTAATATCACACACCTCATTCAACATTACCATTTTGTTAACTGTAAACTTCTCTACCTTGAGCGGCTCTCAAGGCTTTTATTGGGTGAAACTTAGTATATAAAAAAAAAAATCACTTACTGCTTTTGTACTATGACAACTGCTACACTGACCCTTCACAACAGGACAAGCAAGTACATCTTCACGACATTTCGGTTCCTGAAATAATGAAACAATTAAAACAAAATAAACGTAGATGTAGGCAAAGAAAATTTCAGTTTAGTTATAAAAATTGAAACTTATACCAAAATTTTCTATTAAATTTACTTTCAATTTGTAATTTTAATATACAGTATTTCCTACCACTTATTTCTCCAAAAATCACCTTCATTTTTTAACTTTGAGGTTTGATTATCAGACTAACATCTGAACATGCCTGTCTGAGCCACAAGTCTCCTAATGACACCAGAATTAAATATATGGGATTATAAATGATTAAATTATGATTAAAAATCAAAATAATGATAATTTAACTTGTTAGCAACTTGATCTAAAATATGTGCTGGGTTCATCTTAAGAGATATCAAAGTTGATGTTACATCAGACCATCAAAAACCCGGGAACCCTCAAAGGGATGACCTAGAAGGTAACCTCAAAGCCACCAAGTGCTGAACTGGGCCTCAAAGAATATTGGTGGGTGTGGCAACATAAGCAAGTGAACCCAGCTGAATTTAAAATATACAAAGACAAGTCAACTAGATATAAGCTATAATAATTCCTAACCTATATGGGGAAAGAGAGAAACTCTGAAGTAGGTACCTCCAAAAAAAAAAAAAAAAAAAAATTATCTCAGGTTTGAAATGATTTTTAAAAAATGAAAAGTCTGTCTTGAAGCTTTTATTTCAGTTTTAATTTCAAGCTGATAGACGTGTGATTTAAACGAAAATTGGGTGGTAGGAAAAATAAATTTCCACTCGAATCTGTTCCCACTGACAGCTAACATGGAAACTGGAACAACACTTTGCTCGGGACTGTTTCCCGCACACCGTAAACAACAGTACTATCGTTCTTTCTCTGGAACATGAGTATAACCTTCACCAGTCTCAAAGAACAAAACTGCCCTGAAACAAAAAGTTAGTTCTTTTTATCCTTCCTCGGTCTCTGGCAAGAAACCGAGATCTCTCGCTTATGCTAGCCTCATTCTCGCCGATAATGCATGGGCTGTGTCACTTCAACATTGATTGGCCAAAGTTCGCCTCACATGTCTTTTATGTCTACAAGCACATGTACAGACAATTCGCCTTCTCTTGCTTCAGCTAGGTATATCTATACCACAACAAATTAAATTTAATATTTCCAATGAGCAAAATACTTTGCTGTATTTCAAAAACTAATTTAAATTGACTGGAAAGAGTATTTTTTTTATGCTAAAATAGCTGATTAGCATTCATTTTTCATCATCTTTCATCACAATGTAATCCTCTTCATTAAAAAATCTTCAAAAATAAAATATACTTTTCTGAAACTTTACTTGAGGAATATTAGTTGATTTAAAGTATAATGAATCTGATTTGAAACAAATATTTAGGTAACCTCAAAGCAAACCATGTTTAAAATATCACAGAAGTGCATTTTTTAGCCCAACAGTGGCTGTTCTGACATGTTGACAGCCTGATGATAGGTCTAATGTCATTCTACGAAGATATAATTTAGGAAAACATAATTTAAGAAAATTACGTGAGAGTCTTTTTTATATAATTTTTAAGTACTCAGTAACCTTAAAAATTTGGGAAAATATTCTCTGTAATCTAACGTTTTATTAAATTTTAAAAATGTTGACTTTAAATTTACTAAATTTATCACTCAAATTTTCTGATGATGTCATACTTAAGAAAAATGGCACATTTATACACAAAAAATTCAAAATTATTTTTAAAATATTGATCATTAAAAATTTATATTAAGCTTTTCCATTTATGATTAGTAAATATAGTTTTTATTTAATAATAAATCATTTAGCCTTATATTCTTATTACACATTATTGTCATTAAATCATACTTATTATAAAACCAAGGTTGTGTGTGTGTGTGTGTGTGTGTGTGTCTACGTTTATATATTGGATCGGATTTCCTACATTTTTCAACCGATTTCAACAAAACTTCACAGGACTACATAAAAATTACCTTTATTGGTGGTTCTGACAGCGCCAAAAATTGAAAAACACAATTGTTTTTGCACAAAATCAATTTGAAAACACAATTAACAGGCATCACAAGAATGAAAGGGGGGCAACTCATATTGAGTTATACTTATAAAACCCAGGTTGTTAGTGTGTGTGTGTGTGTGTGTGTGTTTTTTTATATATGGGATCGGATTTCCTATATTTTTCAACCGATTTCAACAAAACTTCACTTTTTTGGCAGGTAGTGTTTCTTATTGTCTTGCACACTTTTTTCTTTTATTTTTTACATTCAGAATGCTTTAAAAATTCCATTTACAAGACAATTGTTTATAATAAAATTCTATTCAATTGATTAACTCATAACGATTGAAAACAATGTTTTTGTTTGAGTTTGGATTTGACCAATTGGTAAAAAAAACAAAAAAACAAAAAAAAAACAAACAAACTAATTAAGACATGCGTGTCCATCAACCTTAAACAATAATCTTTGTCAATTTTATTTTTCAGTCTTTATGATGGTCGATACTTGATCTATCTCTTACTGTTACATCCCCGGGCAACGCCGGGCTCTACTGCTAGTTACTAATATGGAACCGCTTGTTTCACACAAGATACCTTAAAAAATGGTATGATGGATTAATCCAATTTGCTCCTTTTTTATGAAAAAAAAAAAGAAAAAAAAAATACCTTCATGGCATATTTGACAAATATAAATAAAGATATAATTACATTATCTCGATCAATCAGGAAAGAATTTAATTCATGACATGTTAAACACAGCGTCCGAAGTTTAGAAGCTTGTATACTCTTGCATATTGGGCAGTAAATGAAGTAGTCAGATGGAGTCAAACTTGAGATACCTGAAATAAATGAAAGCAAATATTAATTTATAAAAGAGTATATATAAAAAAAAATTGTGTTATATTAAGCGTGTGGTGGCAGAACAATGAAGAAACAACAGAGGTTTAAGAAATAAACAATTGTATTAATGAAAAAATACAACAAATGATGAATTGGTGTAAATGTCTCTCATTGAAAGAAAGTAGAATTGTAGAGTCGTCTGCAGAGGCATATGGTAGGAGAGGGTTAGGGTTAGTTGTGACTTACTGCAGCGACAGCTTTTGACGAGTTGTCTTTGGACATGGGAGGCCGCATTACAACGAGCATTGTGAATCCTGGCTGTTGTGCTGACCGACTGCCAAAGATGTCCCTTTGATGAGCTTTTATGTCCTTTTCTTAGGCTCAGATCAGCTCCGATTTTTATTTTGTCTCTTTCGGCGGGAGTGGATGCTATTGGGTGGAAATTCTGGATTGTATTTTTCTTTGAGTGTGTAAATAAAACAGAAGGTATGTGCAGAGCCAATGCGCAGTTGACAAAATTTTTAGTTAAGTTTTGCGTTTCAGAGCATTCATATCTGGCCAGTGGTGGAAATTTGTGTAACATGAATCAGAAGTAGATCTGGCTTTAGGAAGATTATAAAACAGTTGTTTTGAACATTAAAAATCATTCTGTGAAGCTCATTTTGAAATTTGTAAAGTGTTAAACCAAATTGGAAACTAAGAGAGAAAATGATATGGAAATTCTTATAAATTGGGACAATATTAAGCAAATAAATAAAATGGAAAAAATTCTGTGTAAAATGTTTTATCCTTGAGAAGAATTTAATTGGGCCAAAGTAATACTTATATTGATGGAATTATATGTAGGAAGGTGCAAGGGAGATAAAAAACGCGAACGTCAGTTATAAATATGCACAAATATCTGAAAATGTTAGAAATCTGAAATTCAAAATTTTTCTTTTTTTGTTAGATGTGTCTGGACATGCCTAGCTGATTTCTTTCAGTTTCCTTATGCTTTTATTTAATAATAAAAGTGATAAAAGCAAGAGCAGATACGAGAACTTATCGTCCGGTTCACACTCCTCCCTGGTTTTTCAAACAAGAGTAGAGGTTTATTTATTATTATTTCCTGCTTGGGATTGGGTTTCTAGCTCTTTCTAAAGTCTACTTCAACTCGGTTAGACTACATAACCAGACACGCCTAAAAAATTAAAAAAATAAAAAGTTACATTTGTAGAATATTTTAGTACCTATTTCTCAATTTCAGGCGATAAGTAACATTAGCCTTCAATTGCTTGAAAGCATAGCAGTACTAAATTTTGAATTGACTCTCTTTGCACTGGTAGGCAAGGCTAACCGAGTTTGTTTTTTTGTTTTGTTTTTTTTTCCTCTCCAAAAGTAGCTCCTGCCCCAATCTGAAACACATTTTAAATGTTCAAGGTATCAAAAATAAAAATAAATGTAAATAAATAAATAAAGCGATAAGTGAAAAAAAATTTAAAAAACTTAAGAAAAAAAAACACAAACATATGCTAGATGTTATCTCCCTTGCTTTTCAAAAACGTACATTGTTATCTCCCTTGTTTTAAAAAACCTAAAAAAACGTAGATCTTCAGATGTTTTTTTTATTATTACTTCAATAAAAGATAAAATTGAGAAATCGGTCAAAGGATTAGCATATCATCTGAATCGCTCTCAGTACCTAAATACCCCCCCCCATAAAATGCTCCTTTTAAAAGGCAATTGAAAGCAACACATTTTAAAAGATTACAAAAAATTTGGGGTAATTTGCTTTTTAAGCCCCACGCTAACTATGAAATAAAAATTTCCTGAATAGTTATATTCAGGTGTAAATATACATGCTTAATTCGAAAATAACAAAGAAATTTTGATAAAATCTACTGTTTTGGAGTTATCAACAATAAAAGTTTGGGCTCATTTGCGTCGCGGCAGCCATTACTAGCATTGTTTGTATATATTTCCTGCGGAATAGTCTTGACTCTTGATCATTTAAAAAAGGGGAAAATCTTGGGGGGGGGGAGAAATTTTCTAACCTTCCGTAAGGCCATCTGTTAGAATAAACAAGAATTGTTTGGTTTGTTTTGTTTTACAGTATAATACCAACTTCAGTGGGTTATTTAATGCTGACAAATTTTTTTCCTGGTAATATTTTGTTTTGTTAAAAATCTATTTCTGGTAATATTTTTTCCTGAAAAATGTATAGCTGGTAATATTATTTTAAAATATATATTGCTGGTAATATTTTTTTTCAAAAATATATTGCTGGTAATAGTTTTTTTCTTCGAAAATTTATTTCTGGTAATTTTTTTACAAAATATTTCTGGTATTAAAACCTGTTTTTACACTCTCATAGTGTTTTGACCCCAGTTTGGGGGTTAACTATTTGCCCATAGCTGGGACCCTAACTGGTGCTACCACCCCAGCTCAGGGCAGACCTGGGAACATCAGCAATTAAGAGGTAGTTCCACCGTCCTCAAAACCTCCTGATGAGAGACCTTGCTGTTGGACATAGTTTATCAGCTTACCCAGGACGCGGATGTAGTTTATCGTCATACCCAGGACAGTATCAATCTAGAAGCAGAATCCTGTTCATAATATCAATAAAGTGTCAAATTGATTTACAGAGTTATTCAATTTGCAAACAAAAACAGACATTTTTAGTGTAGAGGGTTGCAAAAAGATTTCTTTTAAATAAAGAACAAACAGATATATTTTTTAACTAATTTATGTACAAATATTTACATAAATTAATAAAATTATGTATCCATTTATTCTTCATTTTTGGCAAATAATTTTTAACCCCAAATATTTGTGCACATGCTTCTACAAAAATGTTAACCAATATACTTTGAAAGAAATCCTATAGAAAAAGTTTTTAAAAAAAAAGTTCAGAAAAATGTTAAAAATTCAGAAAATTAAAAAAAAAATATGTAAATATCAATGATGTTAGCAGTTTCTAACTTAATATTTATAAAGAACTACTAGGCTTGGTTTGTTTTATGGCATATCAACACCTCAATGGGTTATTTAATGCTGACAAGATTTTTATTGCTGGTAATATTTTTTTTTCAAAAATGCACTGATGATAATAATTTTTCCTCAAAAATTCATTGCTAGTAATAATTTTTTACAAGAATGTATTATTGGTATTAAAATCTATTTTTACACTTTCATAGTGTTTTGACCCCAGTTTGGGGGTTAACTATTTACCCATAGTTGGGACCCTAACAGGTGCTAAGAAAGCCGGAGCGTACAACGTCCGAAACGTTGTGATAAATATGGTGACAAAGATGAGGACAATAGTCCGAATAATGCAAATAATGTAATAGTATGTTAAATATAAAATATAACACAATTAACTTATAATATGATTAAAGTACGCACATTTACAAAACGATATGAGCTTGTTTTTGAAAAACTAATCTCTCTCTATTGGGCCTAATTTGAGATAAACAAACTCTCATCTCTTCATTAACACAAAGAAGACTTTTCTTTTTTTTTTTTTTGACATTTGTCAGAGCTAAAAAGGCAAAAAGCAGCCCTATGACAAAAAAGGTCCAAATATATATATATATATATATATATATTATATATATATATATATATATATATATATATATATATATATAAAAAGCACTTATAACATAAATATGTTATAAAAGCACTACAAAAACTACCATTTTGCTTCAACACTTCTGGTGTCTTATCAAGTGATGATGTTGAATATAGAATAAAGGGTTTTAAAAGGTTCAAATCAATCAAACATCCCTCGCTATCAAAATACAAGTATATGAGAATTCCAAAAACTTGACAATGAACTAAGGTTATAATAATTATTTAATGCTTTAATGTTGGGGTTATATATATATATATATGAGAGAGAGAGAGAGAGAGAGTTAGAGGGAAATAACTGCAGATTTTAAGTCAGAACATTATCATTGATAACTCTCTCCTCCAATTTGCAGACCCTAGTTACTATATTCTTAATACTTGATATAATGCAAAAATATCACAATGAAAAATTAGGTCAATAATTATTTATAACTATTTATACTGGGACTCATGCTTCCAATTACAAGTAATCCATAATAATATTTGAAATTTTGAAACCATATTTATTTTTGGCATATGAATTTTTTGAAACTTTCTAAATCTTTGATTGATGCTCAATCATTATGCCTCACCTGCTATCCTCTTCTGCTGCACATATGAGGTGCACAGCACAGCTTGGGAACCATTGGTCTAAAGAATGCTAATGTACAAAAATTATTTATTTCCAAAATTAATTTTTCCTATTTTTTTTACGTGTGGACCACTCTATTAAAATAAGGTGGTAATGGTAATTCAATCATAAAGGAAAGGAATCTGGGGAGAGCCATGATCACCTAAAATTTTAATTACAGATCAAAACACGTTTTATGTTTCTTGTTTTTTGCATTTGAAAGTTAGATATAATTTTTGAGATTGTAAATGATATTATCAAATCCTGTTATTTTTAATTGTTTGGAATAAAAAAAAGTTTTCAAATAAATAAATAATGATAATTGTACTTACTCTGGGTACTTAACTGGAATGTATCTCTGGGATCAATTTTTATCACATGCAAATTACTTTCATTTTCTAATTTCAGATCCTGTTCAAAGATAAAAAAAAGAAAAAAAATTTAAAAGTTAGAAAATGTCCATCTCTAGAATTTCGTGTTGGGGATGGAAGCAACTAAGAATTTGCATACTAAAATTAGTTTGCATGATTTTCACAATGGGAAGGGGGCATTTTATAGGATGGGGACTTGGCAACAAGCCTGTTTAAAATTAATTTTGATACTATAGGATGCGATGGATTAATTGTTGTCTAAATTACACAAAAATGAAAACAACACTCACATCTCATTTTAACAAATATATTTACCAAAATCATACAAAAATATCTTGAAATACTAAAGAGTAAATGTATTCAATAAAATTGCCATTGGCTTCAGCCACAGCCTCCAGATGACTTCGGAATCTCCTGCAACTCTTCTGGACAGTATCCTTGTTTAAGTTGGTGAATGCCGCCATAATCCTTGCCTTCAGTTCATCTTTGGTGTTACAAGAAGTTTTGTTGATCTCTCAATCAACTGCACCCCACACATAATAATCAAGGGGGTTGCAGTCTGGAGTGTTAGGTGGCCAGATGTAAGAGGTGATGTGGTTGCAGAAACTGTCTAACAGCCATGACTGGGTTCTCCTGCTTGTGTGGATGGTGCAGAATCTTGTTGCCAGTCATAAGGTCTTCCAGCAGCCATCTTCTTGACCCAAGCCAGCACTACCTCCTCAAGGCACTTTATGTAGGCCTCTGTGTTGAGTCTGAGGCCTTCATCAACAAATTCAGTTCTTTTCTTTCAGAGTGAGTTTTCCAAGCTGTTGAACGATAATCACCATTAGACTCATCCAACTCTTCCCGAATCCTCAGCGCTGTCCTCAGATTGACACCCAAACACTCTGAAATATTCATATTGAAGCTTCCAGTCCAAATGCCAAGAAGTACAGCATGCTGTTTCCAAATTTCTGGTGGAGTGAATTGCGTCATGGTGCCTTTTTTCTCACAGCCAGTGCCCAACTGACCATACTATGCTGTGCAGTTGACAAAATCAAAAACAAACAATGCACGTGTGCAAACTTAAAAGTATAAAATGGCGACAATTTACCCATTGCACCCTGTACTTAAACAGATAGGTATATTTACCCAGCCTCCTTAGCAAAGCTGTGCACGGCACAAGGCTGTTCTAATGGGGAGAGTGCCATACACATACATATGCATATGGGCCAAGGACAAAAACTGATTTTTTGACCAGCCCTCATGAACGTGACAGTATTACAATGACTGAACCTCTTTAGTGTCATGAGAAAGGTGCTTCTGCAAGGTTAGAATCCCCAGGGCTGAGCAACTTCGCCCATCTAAAATGAGGAGAATTGTAGCTTCAATTACAGCACAGCGGACATTAGCCACATCTCAATAAACCTTCACCACATGTAAAAAATATGAAAAATTTGTAGTGGGGATAATTTTTATAGTTTAGAATTTGGGAGATATTATTTTCTTATTGATTTAGAAGATTTCTGTTAATAAGTTTTTTTTTAATCATTTTGCCCAAAGAAAGGTAATAAAGCCACTACAATGCAAGGGGTTACTGAGTGTTAGAGAATATGAGAAAACTAAAAGGAAAGAATTAAGAAGAAGAAAGAACAATAAAAATTTTTTGGAAAAGTTGACTGAATTAAGACAAGATAGTTCCATAACGATTGACATTTGCATCTATTTCAATTTGGGGAAAGTTCATCAGAACAATTACCATGAAAGTTTTATAGAAAGAATAATTTTATGGGGTGGAAAGTGACTAAAGCTGAGATGCCAGGTTAGGACCAATAACATTGCTGTAATATATATTCAAATAAATAGAAAATTAAATAATATGCCATCTCTCTCTCCCATGATAGCAGATATTTTTATTCCATGCCCCAAATACTATATATTAATTATATATAATATATTAATTATTATATAAGATCAGAATGTTATATATTAATTATTAGGTCGTTGTGACATTTAGTGTTGTTATTAAATTTCAGTCAGACAATTATGTGCCATGGGGAGGTATTCTAATTTTTATGAGTGTACTTGTTTTCTAATTTGACTTTAAAGAATAATTTTACTGTAATATATACAAATAAATAGAAAATTAAATATATCCATCCCCAAATACTGATAAATGACTGACAAGGCAGATTTTTTTTCCCACAGTCAGTTGCCATGTCTGTCCTCAGTAGAACAGTTGCCATCCAAGGCTATAGAACCCGGTCTGTCCTGCTATTTACTCTTAGCTGGTGGAGAAAGAAGAAGAGGATTCATACCTTTCCCAAGGGTATTAGCATGTAAGTGAATATAATGGATTTGACTAGAATTCAAACTCAGCTCCCCGATTCAGTTATGTGCCAAGCATGATACACGCTTAAGCGATCATGTATCTTTTAATACATGACTGACGAGGCAGATTTTTTCCTGCAGTAGGCTGCTATTTCTTTCTGCGGTACACCATTTGCCATCCAAAGCTATAGAAGGTCTGTCCTGCTATTTACCCAGAGCTGGGGAAAAAAAAGAAGAGGATTCATCCCTTTCCCAAGAGTATTAGCAGGTAAGTGAATGTAATGGATTCAACTGGAATTTGAACTCGGCTCTCTGATTCCTCAATCCGAGCTGCTATCCATTACTCCACCATGCCTCCTCATACAACAGTAGTGAGTAAAATGTTAAGTAAAGCAAACTTTTCAAAAGTAAGCAAAAATTGAAAATTTCAAAACTACATCTGTTTATTTTAGCAAATACTATCAACCATTTCAGCCTCGTCAGTTGTTTGCAATTTCCTACTAATGCCCTTGGGAAAGGCATGAATCTATTTCTCCCACTTCGAACTATGGATAGACTGGGTTCTTGAATAGCAGCCAGACTAAGAGAAGGATTAGTCTTACTTACTGTAAAGATGACAACGGAAATCAGTTCCAATATCTTTTAGTTACTCTCTTCTGGTTGATTGATTCCCAGTGAACTTTGATCTTCAAAAATGTAAATGCAATGTCAATCGTTATCTTCTGTTTTTTTAATTCTTGTCCTTTTCTTGTCCTCTCTCCTTGATAGCAGTTTTTTCTCTAACATTCACTAACACCTTGCGTTCTAGTGTTTTTATTGCCTTGCTTGGGATGAAATGATTAAAATGTATTTTGATCAGAAACTAAATCAATTATGAAAAATTTAAATGCTTTTGAGATATTATTTTTTGCATGAAATATAGGGTGGCCCTGTTAGCACCACAACTTTGGACACAGCACCTCACCTAAACTCATGATATCAGTAATTGGATCCTAGAAGACTGGCATAGTGGTCTAATGAAACGCTGTTCCAATTATTCCAGGCTGATGGTAGGGATTGGGTGAGGCACAAACTCCCAATTTCAACAAGGCACTCTACAGACTGCTGATAGTTCCATCCATCATAGGGTAGGGTGTATTCATGGCATGGGTTGGGTCAATTGATCTGCTTAAATATGTCATTGACCAATGATTGATATAGTTCACTGATTCATGACCATTTCTATACATTCATGGACTGCATGTACCCAACCCTGATGGAATATTCCAGCAAGATAATGCAGTCATCAGGTTCAACTTGCACAGAATCGGTTTGAGGAACTGGAGACTTCCAATGGATTGTATTGCTACCATATTCATCTGACATCAGCTCAATTTAGTATTTATAGTGATGGTGGAGAGGTTTATTTTCATGCAAGAACCTGTACCTAAAAATATCAGGAAGCTGTAGATGGCTTTCAAGATGGCATTGCTCATCATCTCTCCAAAAGTCTTTCAGCCACTTGGGGAATCGATAACATGTTGAGTTATTCACTTTGTGAACTTGAGGCATGAAGAAGGTGGGTATTACATGATACTGGAACCTATCCTATGACTTTGGGCACATCAGCTGGGAAGAAAATAGCTGTTTCTAATTTAGATAAATAGCACATTGAGGGAGGGCCAGATTATCCTGTAGGCCTAGTATAGGCTGCAGCCTAGGGTCCCTCAAGTTTGGTTATAATGCTCGCTTTTCTTTTTCTTTTTTATATTGAGAGGAGAATATGACTTGGCTTATGACCAAAAACTATACTGTCCAAATCAAAATGTTATACCAAAATTTAGCTTAGTATGGTACAAGGCCAGAAGCACTGGGTACCTAGTAAATATCAAATGTTGGTTAATCTAAACTTCTGATCTTGTGCCATACTATGTTAACTTTAGTAAAATGTCTATCTTCTGATTTGGGTTGGGTTATAGGTGTAACCCTAAGTTCTATGCTAGCAGTTTCTTCTCTTGCACTTCTCACTTGTAGAACTTTCTTTCAGCTTCTTGATTCCCAACTTGGATATTCAAAAAATGTAAATGCAATGTCAATTGTTATCTTCTCAATTCTTGTTCTTTTATTGTCCTCTCTCTCTCCTGAGTACATATTTTTCTCCTCTTTTCTAACACTAAATAAACCCTTACATCTTAGTGGCTTCATTGCCTTGCTTGGGGTGAAGTGATTAAAAAAAAAATTCACAGGTATGAAAGTAAAGGAATGCATGGAGAGCTATGATTGTCTATGTCCTGAAGTGGCATGGAAGGAATATACACCATGGGTGAAAAATTAGGGGGATGTAAGGCAAAATTAAAAAAGACAAATGGCATTCAAAATGATATAATATTAATTAAAAAAAAACAAAAAAAAAAAAACAGAAACTTTGCCATGAACAATCAGATGTCAAAACTATTATTAACCTTGAGGTATATTTTAAATAAAAAAATGTATAGAAAATTATTTAAATGAAATGATTCTCAAAATTAATCATTCCAAATAATGGATAAACTATTTCTAAATAATAAGAAAAAATAAATGTGTATATATATATATATATATATATATATAGTTCAACAAACATCAAATAATAATAATTTTTATTAAATTACATAAAAGTCAATAGGGAGTGTCCATTTTGCTATGTAAATTGATTGTAAATTAATACCCTTGGTAAAATTATGAATCCATCTGTTCTCCCCACAGATATGGGGGTAAACTAAACAGCAGGATTGGACATACTGGGTTCTATAACCTTGGATCGCAACAAATCTAGTAGAATGAAAACTCAGAATTCAAAATTATATGTAGCCCTAGCAAAGCACATTATGCAGCTAAGGACAGAATCTTTTCCTTGATTCGATGATCCCGACTATGGTTGACTTCTTTTAAATTAATCTCCCTATGGAAGCCAAAAACAAATTATGATCAACATATACGACATGCTTTCTTTAAAAGAAAAAAAAAGATAGAAAATTAAAATAGATTACGAATTTCATTTTTTTTTTTTTTTTGTATTTTAAAGAAATCTGGTGATCAGTTTGGTTTTCGTAAGGGAATTAATTTACAAATTTACAAACTGAACCCTATTAATTGTTTTTTTTTAAATTAAATTATTTATTTTTTAGTTTATTAACCATTTCATCCCAACTCAAGCAAGGTGATAATGCCACTAAGACGTGGTGGGGGTCACTGGGAATTAAAGAGAGTTAAAAAAAAAAAACTATAGTGATTAAAAAAGACAATAAAAGAACACTAGCTAGATGATTCAGGAAGGCAGAAGATGGCGATTGGCATTGCATTCATTTGAAAATGGTAGGCGGCAGGGCAGAGGTGTTTTTATACTTTTAAGGGGAAAAAAATGTGATTATTTCTGTCCACAGTACCTTTTTTTTTGTTGTACTATTCTTGCCTATTTTGTCTTCATTATTTGTTTGTTTGGTTTACAAATGAAACAAATATTTTAAGACAAATTTCATTAAAAAAAAAAAAATTAACTTTGTTTTATTTTTATGGGACACAGAAAGTCAAAGGTAACCCGACCCAAAATGAAATAGTATACCAAAGAAAAAAAAAGTGAATGAAGCATCCTATTTGAATTGTATTTAATTTTACTTCTCTACAGAATCTTGAAATTAAAAAATATACCAAACAAAATATTGATCAATTCTTCGACATTTGGATTAATTTTTCTTTATGAATTATCACATCAGCAACATGTATTAAAATTTAGAAAAATAAATATTTTGTTTTTAAAATTCAGAAAAATAGACCTTTGATTTTTAAAATTTAGAAAAATAAACATTTTATTTTTATTCATGTAAAATTTAGAAAAATAAATATTTTATTTTTAAAATTTAGAAAAATATTTTTATTTAAGTAAAATTAGGAATATAAACATTTTATTTATGTAAAATTAGGAAAATAAACATTTCTATGTAAAATTAGGAAAATAAACATTTCTATGTAAAATTAGGAAAATAAACATTTCTATGTAAAATTAGGAAAATAAACATTTCTATGTAAAATTAGGAAAATAAACATTTCTATGTAAAATTAGGAAAATAAACATTTCTATGTAAAATTAGGAAAATAAACATTTCTATGTAAAATTAGGAAAATAAACATTTCTATGTAAAATTAGGAAAATAAACATTTCTATGTAAAATTAGGAAAATAAACATTTCTATGTAAAATTAGGAAAATAAACATTTTCATTTAAGTAAAATTAGGAAAATAAACATTTTTATTTAAGTAAAATTAGGAAAATTACCATTTTCATTTAAGTAAAATTAGGAATATAAACATTTTAAAATTAGGAAAAGAAACATTTCTATGTAAAATTAGGAAAAGAAACATTTTAAAATTTAGAAAAATAAACATTTATTTTTATTTAAACGGCTATATTTTAAAATCTAGTTTTAGTTTTGAAAGAATAATCTATTTACTTTACATAAAAAAACGTGAAACAAATCATTCACATTTTGATTTAAGAAGAAACGTTGTTAAAGTAAACATGAATATTTTCTGTACTGGAAAGACAGAAAAAAGAAGTCGATTTTTTTTTTTTTCCATTTAAAATTTATTTGGACATCCATAGTTTTTACGATTATTTAACATTTTTTCAACATATATGCATTGAATAAGAATAAAAATAAATATTTATTTACAGACCTGTAATAAGGCATTTTCATCAAGAGGACATCCGCAATAAACTAGGCGATAATTATTAAATGATGAAGTGCGTGGTTCATTTATTGGCAACAGTTGGAATTTTTGTAATGCCGTAGCTTTTAGATCACCTATAGACAGATTAGTGGCAACTTTAACAGTATTGGAAATATGTCTATATTTCACGTTTAATGTTAAAGTTTGGTCAACGTGTCGATCCGAAAAGGAAGCTGTAGCATCCATTTCCAGTCCGTCCTCAAATTTCTGCAGTTCTTCCGCGACAATGTCCTTTTCGCCGTTGTCAGTTTCACAGAATAAATAAGAATTGTTTTCTTCACTTACTTCAGCCACTTGCCTCAGCGAAGGTTGTCTTTGGGGGGAAACGATTTGCCACATCAAAAACATTTTTTCATTATTATTAATTAAATGATGTAATAAATTAATAAAAAAAAACAAAAAAAACTCATAAAATAATAAAAATATGTTTTGATCAGAATTTTCCTATTTTTTTAAGAAAATAAAAGTACATTTTTTTTTTTTAGGCAAACTTCTGGATAAAGTCTTTTTGCTACATGCCACAGAAAACAGTAACACTTACTTCCTTTCCTATTTTCAATAAATTAGTCACCCAAAGAAGCTAAGTTGAGGCGAAAAAATAAATAATGCGACAATATGCAATCAATAACACTTACAAGAAAGGAAAAAAAAAAAAAAAGAAAGAAAGAAAGAAACTTAGTTAATCTCACGTAGACAAAGTCATTGAAAATGAAATACAAGCCATGTTACTACTGTGTTACAATGAAGGTCAACATCTGTCTGTAAAACTGGTGTAGATTTGCTTATTTTAAAAAAATCATATTCACTCACTGACTGCGAGAATACTTTGTTTTTACGGCGACTATATTTTGCTGCTTCTGGACGGGAGGCTATACCCAACCGCAGCAAAGAAATCTATTTACACAAGCCCACAAATGGGTGGTACCTAGTGCTGAATTTTTATTTTAGGGATAGACTTTAACAGGCAGGTGCCTAGGGCCTCAAAATCTAGGTGCCCTCCAGCCAAAGGTGTATAATTTGACACTGTCATAGGCCTTTCTAACACATGCTGCCATAACTCATTAAACAACAAGTAATTCTAAACACCCGTCATTATCCTCGGCTTTTTACTCAAACTGTTTCAGTTTACTTTAATTGAACGCTCTTTCATTATCCTCTACTCGTGAGAATGGGAGATTTGGAGAGACCTCACAGAGGGCATCTCTTCATCTAAATCCGTTCCTGTTGGTATACAAAGGTGAACGAATTCCGTTGCTTTGTCTGACTCCCTCAACTGATTCCCGTACTAAAAGAAACCCAGTAGCAGACAAAGTTGCCTTTAAGTTTTTGATCTATTTGTAACTATACAATCAAAATCGGTTATTTAATAACGAATAACACGGTTAAATGAAAATTTGGGATTAAAAAAGAAAGGCCAGAAACGAAACGCAAACAATTTATTTTAATAAATATAATATTGTTGGGTTGACTTTCCTTTTTGTTTCATTTTTCTTCTTTAATGTCTCTTCAGCACGTGAATGATCATGGCTCTCCACAATTTCCTATCTTTTGTAACTCTCAGCAATATTTGTCTTTTTAATATCCCCCTCACTCTTTCCTTGTTCAACCACTTTTTTATACACGCTCATGACAGGTTACTCAGTTTCCTATCTTCCCCTTGCTTTCAATATGCCCTGTGAGTGTCAAATTTTCCAAACTTTATTTCCTTATGTGTCCAAGAATTTGCAAATCTCTCTTTCTGATTCTAAGTATGTCTTTTTTGCTTCCATTTTCTTTAAGAGTTCCTTGTTGTTTACATTCTCTGTCTATGGCATTCTCAGCATCCTACCCTAGAACTACATCTCTTTTGCCTCCAGCATCCTCTTCATTTGTGAGAACACTATCCCACATTCAATGCTATATAGGATGATTGATTTTACATAGCAGTTCAGCTATATTTTCTTTGCTTCCAACAAACTTTCCTTGTTTCTTGATACTTTGTTTAGCTTTTGGAAGACATCTTTTTGCTATTTGAGTGTGCCTTCTGATTTTGGCATGATATTTTTCATCCTATGTACATTATTCAAATTATTGTCCTCATCTTTGTCGCCATATTTATTACAACGTTTCAGCCGTTGTACACTCTGGCCTTCTTCAGGTGGTTGGAATGTCGAACTAAACTCTTTATTTCGCTCACTGGGATAGACTGTTTTAGTTCCACGTGCCATGTTTAATGAATGTCAGTTATCTCCTGTTAATTTCCCTCTCAAAGTTCTCCACTGCCTTAACCAGGTATTAAACTCACACTCTTTGGGTCTGGTGACTGAAGAGAAAAGGGAGATCACCACCGTCTGTGGGATCAGGTTGAGATCATAGACAAAGAACAAACTTAAGGAATGTGTAAACTTAAGGAATCAGCACATATGCTAGGCCACAAAAATCTTCTGAGCTGACCAAGCATAGAAATGAATACAATATGGGAACCAGTAATAAGGAGTGCCAGAGAAAAAGCGATAATAACAACAAAAATTGCAATATAAGCTCTGGTAAAAACATACAATGATAACATTAAAATTGCAGTATGAGCACTGGTAAAAATGGTGTTGAAGACATTAGATTTATAATACCCAGAAATTCATACACAGATGTCATCAAGGACACATGGCACAGTGGATAAAGGTGTTAGATCCAGTGACAGGACCCAAAGAGTGTTAAGGCAGTGGAGAACTTGGTGAGGGGAATTAACAGGAGATAACTGACAACTGACATCCATTAAACATGGCACATGGAACTAGAACAGTCTACTCCAGTGAGCAAAATAAAGGGTTCAGTTCAACATTCCAACCACCTGAAGAAGGCCAGAGCATACACTAGCCGAAATGTTGTAATAAATTTGGTGACAAAGATGAGGACAATAGTCTAAATAATGTAAATAGTGTACATAATACCTAATCTCAGAAATATAGACAGATTTTTCATCCTGTGAAAATACTTTCCGAATATTTAAACTTCTGTACTTGTTTGATTTTGACCTCTCCAATTTATAGCTTACATTTTGGGATTTTTCTCTTGCTGGCAACCATATATTCTATCTTCTTAGAATTGATAGTTAGTCCTTTCTTCTTGATTTCCTTTACTACATTGTCTAGGAATTTCTGCATGTTTCTTTCTATATCTGCCACCAACACGGTGTCATCTGCCAATTTTATATTTTTAAGATTACCGTCTATACTTGCAGATAGGTCGCCCCCACCGGATAGGTCACACCCCTGCTTTGTGGCTTACCGCTTAATAATTGATGATTTACTTTTGACTCGCGGATAGGTCACACTATAATCTGGGGAGTTATGCAGCACTTTTTAAACATAATAATTATCAGATTTCTAGCTTTTATTTCAAAACTTACAATTATTAATACACTTTTGCAGTTAAGATACATTTTGTCAATCATCATGTAAACTAAAAGGAAGTAACTATTGTACTGATATTTTATAAATAACACTTATTATTTTTATATCGAGTCAAAAAAAATAAAAATAAATAACTACAGAAGAAAATGTTATGGTATATTTAGAAAAAAGTGTCTATTTATATATCAAGTTACAGTTTAAAAATTCATTGAGAACTGAATCCATAGCTTTAAGTGTTTATGGGTATCATTTCCAATTTCTCATAAATCATGATGACAAGATAGATAAATTTTCTTTTCCCAGAAAAATAAACTTGATAAGTCCTGGGATGAAACCGGTTGTTTTTTTTTATTATTATTTTTTATTTTTTTATAAAAAATACCTTATGAATTTTGCTTTTCCTACCTATTATTAAATTCTGTACCACAACAAACTTATTTAAATACTTTTTATATAATTTAATATTGAATTATTTTTTGCAAAATAAACAAAATAGTCAACTTTTATTATATTCATTATATATATATATGTATCATTTCTGGTATAAGTTAATATTATCATGAAATATTACAGGTACATGACATTGAGAAAAAGAAATGCCAGTTCACCATATAAGATAGATTAAGAAGTACTGTACTAAGGTCTTCTAGTATGTTGCCACTGTTGTACATTTAATTTATTATTTTTGTAATCTTACCAATGCCTACAAAATTTTATTTCACTAAACAGTCTGAAACCCATCCTTTTTGATTAAACACTCATCACTACCATTACAATCTGATCTAGTTCCTGATGAACTGAAATATAGAATGATGTGCTTAGGTTCACTATAATGTTTGTGGGCGTCCTGGGTAAGATGATAAACAACATCCGTGTTCTGGGTAAGATGACAAACTATATCTGACAGCAAGGACTTGATCAGAAGGTTTTGAGGAGCATGGAAATACTTCCTAATTGCTGATATTCCCAGGTCCATCCTGACCCGAGGTGGTAGCACCTGTCAGGGTCCAAGCTATGGGAAAATAGTTACCCCCCCTTCCCAAACAGGGTAAAAACACTCTGAAAGTATAAAAATACATTTTAATACTTTTTTGGAAAATTTTTTACCAGCAATACATTTTTGAAATTATCAGTATCACATTTTTGGAAATTTTTGAATTATCAGTATCACATTTTTGGAAAAATATATGTATTACCAGCAATATATTTTTGTAAAAAAAAATATTACCAACAATACATTTTTGAAAAAAAATTATTACCTGCAATATATTTTTGAAAAAAAAAAATTATTACCAGCAATAAAAATCTTGTTGTCATTAAATAACCCATTGAGGTAGATATGTCGTAAAATAAATCAAACCAAACCGTTCATGGCATGGTGGGTCTTAGTGCTGAAGGCTAGGACTGGTGGCACTAAGGAGTTTGTCTGAGCACTCTCCATGAAATTAGCAATATAGCAGTGTGAGGAAGTGTATGCAGTAACAGCGAGAAAGAGCTTGTAAAGTGGAAAAGTAATACGTCACTTACAAGGATGCTCTGTTTATTTATAAAAAAAATATACTTAATTTCATTTAGCAGCCTGAATAATAAAAAAAAAACTTAAAGAAAAATATGTGTTCTCTGGCAGGATTTGAACCTGTGTTACTCTTGACAGGTGAAATCATTGTTAAATTCACAGGTACTTCAGAACACCTCAGCCACAGAGTGTGTAAACGATTGAAAGAAAGTTGAATAGTGCCTTATAAAAGCAAATCAGTTTCAGACCCGCAAAATATTCATATTTGCTTCAGTTCATAAGTTTGAGGACACCTCTTCATCATTTTTTTTTAAATTGTCCCCAAAAGTAGTTGTTTTGTAATTTAAATAAGAGGAAATTATTATACATGGTTAAAAAAAAAAAGTGAGACATGATTTTTTAATAGAAATTTTATGCCAAGAAGAAAAATAGCA